GGGGGTTCTTGGCGCAGAACTCAGCACGAAGGGCGGCGCGGTAGCGAGTGTCACTAGTGCGGAGGTGCGTAATGAGGTCAGCGACAGTGGGAAAGGCAGCAAGGTCAGGAAAGAGGTACGGTAGCATGAGGCGGCTCAGGGCAGCAGTGGCAGGGGAAGAGTAGCGCTCAACTACAGCGTCGTACAAGGTCTGAGCACTCTTGTACTGACTAAAGTGCGCGCGCTCAGTGGTAGGCAGGTGGCGACGCACAGCAAGACGTGCAGCAGCATCGCGGGTGGCCCACTGAGAGCGAACAGTGGGGTCAGCATCAGCAGCAGGGGCAGGAGAGGCGCCAGAGGTGAGGTCAAAGAGGGAAAGACCGTCCGCCCTATCGCACTGTAAGAACAGCTGCAGGTCGTCGACCCAGACCTCAAAGTCAATGGCTCGACCCTCAGCGTCAAAAGCGAGGACACTAGGGGTAGCCATGACGACGACAGTGTAGTAGTGCAAGCAGTAGGGGAAGGGCACGCAGTAACAGTGGTGCTGTGCTCACCAGGCAGGGCAGGTCGGGCGGCTCGGCAGTAGGGCGGCCCGGAGGCTGGGCGGCTCGGCGGCTCGGCTGCTGGGCGGCTCGGCTCCCGGGCGGCTCGGCGGCAGGGCGGCTCGGCGGCAGGGCGGCTCGGCGGCAGGGCGGCTCGGCGGCTCGGCTCCCGGGCGGCTCGGCGGCAGGGCGGCTCGGCGGCAGGGCGGCTCGGCGGCTCGGCTGCTGGGCGGCAGGGCGGCTCGGCGGCAGGGCGGCTCGGCGGTCGTAGGCGGCGGGGCCGGTGAGGATAGGCGGCGGGGCCGGTACCGTAGGCGGCGGGGCCGCGAAGTGGGGCGGCGGGGCCGCGTAGGTGAGGGCGGCGGGGCCGCGAAGTGAGGGCGGCGGGGCCGCGACGTGAGGGCGGCGGGGCCGCGAAGGTGAGGGCGGCGGGGCCGCGTAGGCAAGGGCGGCGAGGCCGCGACGTGAGGGCGGCGGGGCCGCGAAGGCAAGGGCGGTGGGGCCGCGACGTGAGGGCGGCGGGGCCGCGACGTGAGGGCGGCGGGGCCGCGACTTAAGGGCGGCGGGGCCGCGTAGGTGAGGGCGGCGGGGCCGCGACGTGAGGGCGGCGGGGTCGTGACGTGAGGGCGGCGGGGCCGCGTAGGCAAGGGCGACGGGGCCGCGACGTGAGGGCGGCGGGGCCGCGACGTGAGGGCGGCGGGGCCGCGACTTAAGGGCGGCGGGGCCGCGTAGGTGAGGGCGGCGGGGCCGCGACGTGAGGGCGGCTGGGCCGCGACGTAAGGGCGGCGGGCTCGCGTAGGTAAGGGCGGCGCAACGGGCCGCTAGGGGCGACACGGAGGGTCGCTAAAAAAAAAAGGAAAGCGCGCCTCGGGGCGCGCTTCGGTGGGCCCTAGAAACAGTCCCTAGGAGGGGACCTGCTCTGATTCCATGTGGAGAGGAGAACGCGAATGAATGAACTATGAATGAAGTGAGTACATATAGGAAACCCTAATTGGGTTGTACCCCCTATGGGATACCCCACTATAGCCTACACAACAGCATAAGCTATATAATGTTCTGACAACGCAGACATCAATCGCATCGATACTATTCTGCAAGAGGCGGACTGCATTGTAATGGGGGTAAGTTTAAACTGCATACTTAGTATACATTTCAGTTTCCTGGAGGGAACAAAAGTTTACAGTTCTTGTGATGACATGTGTGCAGGAACATCAAATCCCAATGCAGTCGAACTCGTTTGACAGCGGGATCTACGTATGCCACTACCTCAAAGCGCTAGTAGACTCTAGCTTCGAGACTGTGCGCGATTGGATTAGCCTCCGCGGTGTGAGTTCGTTGCAGTACCGCCGTTCAATCCGGGCGGACATTTGCGAGCATGCCGAAGGGAAGCTGCTATCAAAGCTATCTCAGCTCTGACTCAACGTCCCGCCGCAGAAGACAAAGAGAGTGACAGCCGAAACAGCTGTTGTGCATCCCGATGACTGTGATGGCTGCGCGCGAGTCGGAAAAGTGCATACTGAAATTCAGGTGATGAAACGTGAGGTAACAATCCTCAACGCCAGTGTCATCGCCATTGGGCAGGTACTCGGGTACAGTCAGGACCAGGTGCTAGCAGCAGCTGCGCATGTCCTCCAGCAAGATCAGGAGTGGAGCAGGAAGTTTGCTTGTGCGGGTATTAACAATGCTCAATCCACACCCCAATGTCCATCGAGCTACGCAGAACCACTGCATGACAGTCCACAGGGGGACGGTAAGTTTTCTCGGGTGCATGCTGACGAGAAGTCAAGCAGGGCATTTGGTCTGATACATGAATCCCCGGCTCCGCTCCCGATGACAGAAACTGTCCTATGCTGGCTCTATTCCCAACAGCAGCAGCCACTAATGCATCCAAGCCCAGCATCTGCAGAGTATTTCGGCGTCCAAATACCTGTAGTGTCAACCATACCAACGACCGGGAAGATGGCAACATTGGGTGGTGATGGCAACGATGGCAAAACTGTTGCGCCGTTTGTTGTCGAGAAAGGTGACAGTACTCAGCTGCCTCGATACACCGGGGTGTATCATGAGCGCAGCACTGGGAAGTGGGGTGCGAAGATTCTGGTGAACGAGGATGGGGTCCGTACACAGAACCGCCTGGGGGCGTATACGATGAAGGAGGAGGCGGCCTATGCATACGCTGCAGCGGCCTTTGTGACGCGTCCGGATGAGAGTATACCGGACATAAAGCAGCTGTCTAAAAAGGAAAAGCGCGCCCTGGAAGGGTGCAATAAGGACATCATGCGGACTCTCGTTCGGGCGCGCAAGTGGTGGCGTTGGAGAGAGTGGCGCAAGGCGTTTGAGGAGGAGGAACGCAAGGGGGCAGGAGGAAAAACAATGCCACCATCACATCCACGGGCAAAACGGATGAAGAAGGAAGAACGGCAATCGGGAAATCTGAAGTGCGATGGACAGGGCGAATGCACAGGCGTATCTAGAGAGGTACACTCGGTTAAGGGTGGTGACAATGGCACATTTATGGACACTGGGAGGAAGGAGGAGGGGCATTCCGAAGCATCCGAGTCTGAAGACGGCTCCGAGGAGGCCTGGTCGCATAAGGGCTAGATGTGGTATTCTCTTTTCAAGCGTGTGATACCGTTGCTCTAATTGTGCAGCATGTGATACCCACACAGCATGTGCAGAAAACAGCGACTCTAGACTCATGACTGTACTCGAATAGAAAGACATGATGATGTTGTCATTCAGTGGTGTGTTATTTTGCGCACATCTGCTCGACGGAAATAGAAATTCCATCGCTTTTGAGGACACACGGACTGTAGGGAGACCCCAGAGGGCTTCCCAACCGATTGCTTGTTTCTCCTCTTCCTATGCAGCTAACATACGCGTAAGGATGCTGGAGATGTACCCATTGAACCTGACCACTGCTTTTTTATGTGGTACACTTCCAACTATGCATATGCAGAACATGAGCCTACTTCCAACACTGCATATGCGGAACACGAGCCCACTTCCAACACTGCACATGCGGAACACGAGCCAACTTCCAACACTGCACATGCGGAACACGAGCCCACTTCCAACACTGCACATGCGGAACACGAGCCCACTTCCAACACTGCACATGCGGTACACGAGGCCCACTTCCAACCGCGCGTATGCGGAACACGAGGCCCACTTCCAACCGCGCGTATGCGGAACACGAGGCCCACTTCCAACCGCGCGTATGCGGAACACGAGGCCCACTTCCAACCGCGCGTATGCAGAACACGAGGCCCACTTCCAACCGCGCGTATGCGGAACACGAGGCCCACTTCCAACCGCGCGTATGCGGAACACGAGGTCCACTTCCAACTGCGCGTATGCGGAACACGAGGCCAATTCTTTGCATGGCTCGCCGAGCAGACATGGCCACATCTCAGAAGGGCATAGGGGTAATAATTGTTTGTGGTTACACACACCCATATTCAAACACCAAGCATCTTCGGTGGAGATTTTTGTGGCTATAATTGATTCAATATACCGTATAATGTGCCCTGCAACAACCTTTTATAGAGACAAACCACTACACAACGAACAAAAGAATGTAAGCAGGCCCTCAGATTCACTTTAAGGGACGTTGATGCATCAGGGTCCCTGTGAACAAAACCCTGATTTTCAGTGTTCCTAAAAAAAAAACCCTGAATTTTCAGGGTTCCTAAAAAACAATGCCTGAATTTTCAAGCAAATGAAAACCTTGTATACAAGGGTAGGCTTTACGAAATATGACAGCGGAGGGATTCGAATCGGGCCCTTACCCGTCGGTAGAAAATCGCTAACCACTGAGACAGTTGATCCTCTAATCTGTCAATCTCTTATGTTCTCGTACGTGAAAAACCTGAAAATGTTGGTTGACAGGAAGGATTCGGAATGTGCATTCAGTGTACACTTCGATAAAAGACTGAAAAATCAGTGTCAACTATGAAATAAAGGCTGAAAAATCAGTGTCACAAAATTCTCAACACTGAAAAATCAGTGTAGGTACAAAAAAATCCCTGAAAATCAGGAATTTCAGGGAGAAATTCCTGATATCGTAGGGCCTGAATGTAAGCAATGCGGTAAACACAGTTCACACCTTTCCACTTCCCCCCTCTTCCCCCTCTTCCTGCCCTCACTAGAAAACCCCAGCATCCACCTGCCCTGTCTTTGACACTTCACTCTCCTTTGCTCCTCAACATCCAGTGCTCCTCCAGGGTCCCGCATCATTCCGATCTCCAAGCGCCCTTTGAGGCGTCTCAAAAGTTTCCCCTTCCCCCTCCTCCCCCCCCCCCCCCCCCCCCCCCCCACCTCCCCCACCCTCCTTTGCTCCTCATCCTCCATTGCTCCTCGCTGGACCAGCATCTTTCCGATCCCAGAGCATTCTACCAGGGAGAACAGAGGAGAGGCGCTCAAACAGTGTCCTGCAAGTAACACGGAGGACGAGAATCAGCTTTGAGACGACTCAAATCAAACGGTCGAATGGGCAAGAGGTGCTGCAAGAGAGTCCTGCAAACAAGGAGCATCATGGATGCAAAGATATTGCAATAATTACAACAGGGACAAGAAGACGAAGATACTAAGGTTGGGAAAAGGGGGAATAGAGAAGGTTGGGAAGGGGGAGGGATGGGAGGAGGGGAAAATCAGTGGAGGTTGAAGGGAAGGGCCAGGACAAGCAATGGTGACCACATCTTTACTCACCGTGTGAGTGCTTGCTGCATTACATACGGTTTCTTAATAATCTTAAGTCGAATTTGTTTTTCGAGAATTCTCAAGCCGAATCTGTTTTGTGAGAATTCTCAAAAAACAAGCAATGGTGACCACGTGAGTACTCACCATGTGAGCGCTTGCTGCACATTTGAGTCGACTAAAAAGTAAACCTATCACCTCAATGCTTTTGAGGTGCCTCAAGAATCGCCTGATCATCCATACACTCACCATGTAAGTGCTTGCTGCATTGACCGCTTCCTCACCCGTGGCACCACCCCTCGAAAGAAACCCGGCTGGCCCTGCGACTGGGGGGGGGAGGGAAGGGGGAAGGAGGAAGGGGAAGTGGGGGAGGGGGGAAGGGGGAAACAGAGAAGTAGAAAGGGAAGGAGAGGAAGGAGAGTGAGTGCTTGCTGCATTGACCGCTTCATTACCCGTGGCACCACCCCTCGAAAGAAACCCGGCAGGCCCTGAGACTGTCGGGGGGGGGGGGGGGGGGGGGATAGCGAGTGCTTGCTGAGTAATCGCTTCATCACCCGTGGTACCACCCCTCGAAAGAAACCCGGCAGGCCCTGAGACTGGGGGGGTGGAGGAGATAGGGGGGAAAGGAGGAGCAGGAGGGGAAGGAGGAAGGAGGGGAAGGAGGGGAGGGATAGCGAGTGCTTTCTGAGTAATCGCTTCATTACCCGTGGCACCACCCCTCGAAAGAAACCCGGCAGGCCGTGAGACTGGGGGGGTGGAGGAGACAGGAGGGAACGGAGGAGCAGGAGGGAAAGGCGGAAGGAGCGGCAGGAGGGGAAGGACGGGAGGGATAGCGAGTGCTTGCTGAGTAGTCGCTTCATCACCCGTGGCACCACCCGTCGAAAGAAACCCGGCAGGCCCTGAGACTGGGGGGGTGGAGGAGACAGGAGGGAACGGAGGAGCAGGAGGGAACGGAGGAGCAGGACGGGAAGGAGGAAGGAGGGGCAGGAGGGGAAGGAGGGGAGGGATAGCGAGTGCTTGCTGAGTAATCGCTTCATCACCCGTGGCACCACCCCTCGAAAGAAACCCGGCAGGCCCTGGGACTGGGGGGGGGGGGGAGAAGACATGAGGGAAAGGAGGAGCAGGAGGGGAAGGAGGAAGCAGCGGGAGGAGGGGAAGGAGGGGAAGAATAGTGAGTGCTTGCTGAGTAATGGCTTCATTACACGTGGCACCACCCCTCCAAGAAGCGCACATAAGACGTGCACTTTCCAAATTATTAAGTGCACACAAGATGTGCAATTTCCAGATTATTAAGTGCACACAAGATGTGCAATTTCCAGATTATTAAGTGCACACAAGATGTGCAATTTCTAGATTATTAAGTGCACACAAGATGTGCACTTTCCAAGTTATTAAGTGCACACAGAATGTGCACTTTCCAAGTTATTAAGTGCACACAAGATGTGCACTTCTTCGCCTAAGAAGTGCAAACAAGATATGCACATCTTCACTAAAAGTGCACTCAAAGATGTGCACAAGGCTGGTGTCGATTCGTAAGTCTTCCACATGGGCGAACACTACTGCAACCTCACAAGTTTGCACCATGACCCCCATGGCTGTCCCATGGTTGATTAATTTGCATACAACCTACCTTGTAGATCTTTTAGGCGCCTTAAAAAAACGTTTTTTTGAAGCGCCTCAAAATCAAGCAAACACTTATGCAGCCTCACAAGTGTGCACCATGGTTTTCATGATTGTTTCTCTGCTGCTCACCTGCATGCAACCTACCTTGTGAATGGCTGACGTGGCACCAAGCATGGTCAGGGGCTTGCCAGGTGTCTCGGGTCGCAGAGTATGAAAAGTGGGTGGAAGTGGGTGGAAGTGGGTGTCTCGGGTCGCAGAGTATGAAAATCTCGTGAGTGTAACCAGATCTTGCGGTGCCCACATCACCCGAACCTCCAAGCGCCAAACCTGCAAGGCAGGCATGGCAGGCAGCAGGTGGTCTGGTCCGGCATTAGGTTTGGAAACAGCATTCACTTTCAAAGCACACCGGGAAATTAGTGGCGAGCAACATGGTCAGAATGATGAACAGGGGGATAAGGGTGCAAGTGGGAGCAAGTGGGTGGAAGTGGGTGCATGCAAGTGGGTGCAAGTGGGAGCATCGCATACATCTTACCAGCAAGGCTGCAAGGATTGTCCCCTGACCAAGCCACGACTTCATAGTTTGGGGGGAAGCCAAACCTGGAGAGAGAACAGGGCAGGAAAGCAGGGTGGGGAAGAAGGGATGAGGAACGCAGGAGATTTGAGGTGCTGCAAGAATTGTCCCCTGACCATGCCATGACTTGCCAGTTTGGGGGGAAGCTAAACCTGGAGCAGGAGGAATGCAGAGTGTTGGGGGGAAGGGGGGGGGGGAGGGGGAACGGAAACAGGAGCTCGAATGGTCGTCCTGACCATGTCACAACTTAGCCACTGGATCAGCAGCACCGCAACGTATCCATTCGTTCAACTAGTTTTTGAGTATTCTCAAAGAGTAACGGCCACCTGGGTGGAGAAAAACGCGTTCGACGTTTTAAACGCTTGCGTTCAAATGCAGCGTTTTAAACGCAGAACGCATTTCCAGGATTCAAAAAAACGCAAGCCCGGGCAGGGTAAAAAAAAGGTACGGGCAGGCAAAAAAACCTCTCATGGTGCAAGGGAAGGGGGGGAAGAAGCACATAGCATAGATTTGAGGAGATTTTTTCCGACACAAAAAATTCCCCCCCCCAACATTAGGTTCCCATAGTCACGATTAGTTAGTCACTCTAGTCTAGCAATAAGCAAACTAGAGCAAGCTACCACGGTCCACGCCATCTCCTCTAATCTTCGTCCTCCCCGCCCTCCTCCTCCTCGCCCTCCTCCTCCTCCTCGCCATCCTCCTGGTGCGCGTGCTCATCCACACAGATCGCGTCCTCATCCTCCTCCACCTCCCCATCCTCCTCCAGCTTGTAGCCCTCGGGGAGGGGGGGGGTGGGAATGTTCCCCTCCACGATCCCCCCCTTCCTTCCCACCCCACTAGGCCCTGCAACAGCCGCTCCCTTGTGATGGTTGTGCACAACTGTCCAGTTGTGCGCAACGTACACAAGGTCGCGGACCTTCTCCGACCCGAGCCTGTTCCTGCGCGCCGTGTACACACCGTCCCAAACAGACCAGTTCCGCTCGCACGGGGCGGCGGAAACTGGCTGGGACAGCGCACAGCGCGCAAGTCCAGCCAGGTCTGCATACTCCCAGCCGTGATACTGCCACCACGCTAGCATGTCCCCCTTCCCATCCTGCAGCTCCTCACGCCCCAATCTCGCCTCCTCCGATCCGAAGCTCCCAGTGGCGTTGATGTACGCCAACATCCCCTCCTGCAAACTCTTGTGCGGCCCCTTCTTCCCCTTCCAGAACTTGTCGACAAAGACCTTAGAGCGGGCGAGCCACTCCCTCATCACCTTGGTGCACTCGACGTCACGCAGGAAAATCTCCTCCAGCTGGTTGGCCGGATTAAGGATCCGGCCAACCACGTGAAGGGGGCACGCCAAACTCTCGTCCCAGCGGCGCCTCAAGTGCTCCTGCACCTCCTCCTTCTCCTCCTCCTTCAGCTTACACATATCACCATCCAGCAGCTTCGCCATGTCCTCCGTCAGCTGCAGCATGATCTCATAGATAGCACCCATCATCCCCTTCGCATGCGAGTCCGTCCTCCTCATCACCATGAATGGCACCTCCATCAGCTGCACCAAAAACCCCGCTTTCTCCCACCAATCCACATCCATCACCCACGCCTCGAAGTCACACGCCGTCGTCTTCTTCTCCTTCGTCCCCTTCTTCCCCTTCTTCCCCTTCTTCCCCTTCATCTTCTTCCAGCCGTCATGCACCACCATCTGCAGCAGCTGCGAGCGAAGCTGGCAAAGACGAGACACGGCAATGTACTGCGTCCCAAAACGCGTGCCCGCCGGTCGCAGCGGCTGCAGCGCCTTCCCGCCGTGCAGTTCCGGACTCCGCAGAAAAGCGCGCGTCCACAGGTGGATGCGCAGAAACGTGATCATGTCGCCCGCTCGGCCGACGACGTCTCGCGCCCACTCCATCTTGCCGATGTCCTCCATCAGCAAGTCGAGCACGTGGGTGGCGCATGGCACATGCTCGATGTGCGGCCACTCCGCCTGCAGCAACTTGCATGCCGACGCGTAGTTGCTGCCACCGTCCATGCACAGCGCGACGACATTCTCCGGGCCGATCTTCTTCACGATCGGGCGCAAGATGCCGGCCTCGAACGCTCCGCTCTTCAGCTCCATTTTGCAGTCAACCGCCTCGACGAAAACAGCACCGGCGTCGTTGAGGAGCAGGATGTTCATCTGCGCGCGCCCGCTCTTGTCCGTCATCATATCGCTGGCGATCGTCACGCCCGTCTTCGCCCACGTGTCGGTAATCGGCGCCAATCCCTTCTCGATCCTCTTCTTGCACGCCAGGAGTCCGGCGCCGCCGACGTAGTCACGCTTGGGAGGGACGTAGTTGGGGCCGGCGGCGGCGACGGCGCGAAGCATGTTGAGGAAGAGTGGGTTCTCGCACTGCCGTTCCGCCACGCGCATCCCCGCGAAATAGAGGCATATCGCCTCGTCGGCATTCCGCTTGGACGAGAGACCCTCGTCTCCGTAGAAGTCTTCCATGCGCCCCCGTTTCGGCTTTGGCCCCGCCCCGCTCTTGCCGCTCACTGAAGTGATCGCCGCCTCCGTCGCCTTCTCCTTGTCCTTGCGCGCCGCAATTTTCCCCTCCATCAACGCGCGAATCTCATCGGAAACGCGCTTGGGTACGTTCTTACAAATCGGGCCAACCTCGCGGCGAGTATTGGGGTTGTTCCATATGGCGAGGTGAGAGGCGCAACGGACACTAGTAAAGCTAAACGTCTTGCCGCAAAAGTCGCATTTCGCTTGCTTAACCTTCTTGTTTGGATCAGTGAAAAAGGTGTAATGCGAATAGACAAGGTGCTTAGACTTATCGGATGTATCCGCATTCTCCTCCTTATCGGCGGCCGTGGTGCTAACGTCAACGACAGGAGGAGGACTACGGTCGGAATCACCAGTGGAATCCCTAGACGTGGAAGCCATAACTTAGAGGAGGAGCTTGCTAAACCCACAAGGGTTTTTGAAAGAGAATTTGGGATCTAGAAAGGAGAAGCACAAATGAGTCACTTTCACCTCCTTAACCATTGTGGTGGCTGGCCACAATGGTTGGAGTTTGTAGATGGTGTGCGGTGCAAAGCGTTTGGGTTCAATTTTGAACCCAAACTTGGGAATTTTGGTGTGGGGTAGATTTAGTGGGGTCGATTTGGGTTGGAAGGGGTTCTTTTTTTACGAAATTGACATTCGCGCTAAAATCGCGAATGTCAATTTCGTAAGCTGGAAAAAAAAAATTTCGGGCTGCCCGAAAATTTTTCTCCCATGCGTTCTGCGTTTTCTGGTGCGTTCTGCGTTTTGCGTTCGAACGCAGAACGCAAAACGCATTTTGCGTTTTTCTCCACTCAGACGGCCACTGGGCCCAAAATGTCGCCACCACCTAACTACGGCACGACTTAGCCATTCGTAAGGCACTGGTACTTGGTAATTTGTTAGGCGCCAAAAATTCATTTCATGGCTTGTGAATAACCCTCAAAGACAACGCGCACCGCACACGCAGCACACACCGCACATGCAGCACACACTGCACATGCAGCACACACCGCACATGCAGCACACACTGCACATGCAGCACACACCGCACACGCAGCACACACCGCACACGCAGCACACACCGCACACGCAGCACACACCGCACATGCAGCACATACCGCACATGCAGCACACACTGCACATGCAGCACACACCGCACATGCAGCACACACCGCACATGCAGCACACACTGCACATGCAGCACACACCGCACATGCAGCACACACCGCACACGCAGCACACACCGCACACGCAGCACACACCGCACACGCAGCACACACCGCACACGCAGCACACACCGCACATGCAGCACACACCGCACACGCAGCACACGCCGCACACGCAGCACACACCGCACACGCAGCACACACCGCACACGCAGCAAACACGGCACACGCAGCACACACCGCACACGCAGCACACACCGCACATGCAGCACACACCGCACACGCAGCACACACCGCACACGCACGGACCTGTAGTACTGCTGCACACTGCCAACCACATCTGAGGGTTGGAGGCACATCAAAGACAAAATCACACAGCACACACCGCACATGCCCTTGCCTGTCCACGTAGTACTGATGCACGCTGCCAACCACCCACTCCCATCGTATCAAACACACACGACACACACAACAAACACACCGCACATGCACTCGCCGGTCCACGTAGTACTGATGCACACTGCCAACCACATGTCAGGTATGAGGCGCATCAGACACACACACAACACACACAACAAACACAGCACACGCACGCACCTGTCTACGTAGCACTGGTGCACGCTGCCAACCAACCAATTGATGAGACGGAACCACCTCGCTGAGCCTCTCTCGCAGGTTCGGCACAGTGGCCTGTCAGGCTCGGTGGGGGGTGGGTGTGGGGGTGGGGTGGGGGAGGGGTGGGCAAGTGGACATGCGGTAGGTCTTGATGGAATGCTTTACAAGACAAGGCACGATGGAAACATGCAGGTGATTTTGCAGGCACCTAAACAAACGAGTAGATGAAAAACAACTTTGGCAAATCAACTGAAATGCATAATATCGAATCGAAAGATAGTGGCATAGAATAGATTAGGGCCAACACCACGACAATGTGTCAGCACCAGAATCGCATATCAATCATAAAACGGATGATATTGATATGCCATCGATACGACATCATTGTAGTAACAGGACTAACCTCTCGTGCCACGTCAGCTCACCTCTAGTGCCCACTGTCTCGTCCGCAGATCAATGGGGGCATAATCTCCGACCAATATCGACGCGGCAAACGAGCCTGAGCCTGATGCTGCCACACCTGCCGAACCTGAGGCCCGGTGAACCGTTCGTAGGCTCGGGAGCCCGTGAGACGAGCCAGAGCTGCTTCGATTTCCCTACACTGGGCTGCTGTGCTGCTGTCCATCCAGATAGAGGAATCGAAAATCGAAAATACACTCTGCTGCAATAATGAATTGACCTGAAACGAGTCATTCTCAACTGATTGAGCTGAGCCCCTTTGTGTGTGACCTCTCATCCCCACATAACTGAGCAACAAGAGACTGGTCAGATCGAAGGTTTCTAAGCCGTGCCCGGGCTCCTCTCTGCCAATGAACGCTCCCGTGCTGCTGCCCACTGCCGGAAACTGCCCGGAGTTTATCAAACAGGACATCCGCTTCTTTCAACCTCGATAGAATCACATCAAAAGCCTCTACCCACATGGCTGGTGGTGCAGTGACTCTAAGCGCCGAGCCTGACGAGGAGGTTCAGGAATCAGGCTCGGCGGAGGCTCGGTGGACGCCTCCAGAGGTTTGGTAGCGGGGGAGGGTTGTGTCATACTGGAGTGATTCGGTGGCAACGATGCGAAGGGAGGAATCGATTGCTGTGGCCTTGAGAGACCTGAAAGCAGTACGAGCATAATGGGGGGTGGGGAGGGGGAATGGAGGGGTTGTGGAGGGGGGAGAGGGGAGGGAAGGGGAGGGAGGGGGGTTGGATGGTTTTAAGGGTGAAGTTGGGTGGCTTGTGCAGAAGGGCAGTGTCAGTGTTGTATCGGAGTGACTCTGTGGCGACGATGCAAAGAGAGGAATCAGCTGCTATGGCCCTTAAGAGACCTGGAAAAATGGGGAAGGGTAGGGGGAATGGTGGGGCAAGGGAGGGAGGGAGGGAGGGGCAGAGGAGAGAAGGGGAGAAAGGGAGCGGGGCTCAGGTGAGAGCGGGCGGGAGGGCAGTGGCAGTGTCATATTGGAGTGATTCGGTTCGGTGGCGACGATGTGAAGGGAGAAATAGATTTCTGCGACGATTCATGCGACGATTTTAACACCGTGACTGTAAAGGGGTAAGGGGGTGTCAGTCAATGCCTCGATAGAGCAACTCAATCGATTGCGACGATACCTTGAGTGGCCTGAGACGGTGTGATTATAAGGGGGGTGCGGAGGGGGACGGCAGATGAGTGTGTGCGAAAGGGAAATGCCATGCACTGAAGGGTCATATCATATTGCCGAGATGATTTTATGAAAATCAGGTGTGGCGAGGATGTGGAGAGACAGGAATCAATCGCCACACCTGATTTGATTCCTTGGGTGACCTTGGGGGGTGACCTGAGATGGTGTGATTAGAGAGGGAGAAAGGAAGAAAGTATTGCGGCCCCTGAAGTGACCTGAAATTGGTGTGACTTTAAAGGGGGACAGATGGATGAGGGGCGTCACATTGAAGAGCCGGAATTATGACAATGTGAAGGAAGTTATCAACGGCTGAGATCTGCAGGGACTGGGGACGGCGCAACAAGAGAAAGAAACGGAAACACGATGTAAATCCGGACATTCTCATTTCACATCCTGGGAGTTTGGAACAGGAGAATCACACAGTAAGACCCGCCTCCAGTCAAAATTTTGATGTGGGAGTTTCGCGAATGAGTCGACGCGAATGAGACGACAATGAGTCGACGCGAATGAGTCGACGCGAATGAGACGACAATGAGTCGACGCGAATGAGACGACAATGAGTCGACGCGAATGAGACGACAATGAGTCGACGCGAATGAGACGACAATGAGTCGACGCGAATGACCTCCAACTCACAGCGTCTCAATCAGACGCAAATAATATAAAACTCACTGCGTGGAGCTGTCGAAGCCGAGAAACAGGCCGTCTAAACCCAACAATGCCGCCATTGTTACACCGTCGAAATTGTCCAAACAACGGCTACGATGCAGAAAGTTTCCAAGCAACGGCTACGACGTCCCCGGGGAATAAAAAACACGAGATAGACGACGTTTCCAACCGGCGGATACAGTTATCCGCTGGAACCGCGCGACACGAGAGTTTTCAGACTTCACTTGTTTTACTATGGAGTCGCCTAGGTGACCCTGTGGTGTTTCTGTCCTGAGTCCTGGCTCGAATGTGTATGTATCTGTCCTGCCTGGATCAAGCAACCAGAAATTCCCGGGCACTGGGCAAAAGAGAGGAACATTACGGTGCGCCGGATTCAACCTCGTTTTTGTCGGGTTGCTTGCGGTAGTGCCAACCCAACCTGATGGTGACACACATACTCGCTTTAAGCACTGAGATCACGAACAAGACTATACCGTACTAATTACAGAAGTTTGGCGCACCTAATCCACCCTCTTTAAAAAACACGCTTTTGTTTTCAAAAACCTTGTGCCACCCACCTCGGGTCCCAACCACTTCCCTACTCAGGCCCTCAACAGCATCCAGCCTATACAGTACAAACGCATTATTGTCCCACCCCACAAACCGCTGCAGATTCTTGCATTCAGGAAACAGTTGAGCCAACAAACTCTTCCCATTTGCGTGGTCTTCATCCCCAGTTCCAGCCTCCTCGCGCCTGTCTTCCTCCCGCAACGGCAAACAACCTCCTGTTTCCAAGCGTGTCTCATCTCGGCTTCTTGACGTGCCCTCCCCTCCATGCATTCTCTTTCCCAAGCTCTCCCCCCCATCCTTCCCCCTCAACCAACTTTCAAACATTTCCACAACGCCGCTCCCAATCCGAGTGAAAAACAACCCCTCGACGCCGCAAGGCCAGAGAACATCGGATCGAAAAACAGACAGAGACAAAGGGGCTCTGTCTCCAGCGTAAAAGCATGCTTTTGAGTCGACTCAAAAGCACCGCAAGCTCTCCCAGCCACGTAGGTCCAGCGATTGCGAAACCAAATCACCTTCCCACTCGATTGACTTCACAGTCTTTATCACACCGGGAGGGAGGCATGAAACCTGCCGTTGCTGCATGTTGCAGCAGAGGGAGTCCAGCGAAGTGAGGTGAGGAGCGTGAAACGCTTGTGCTTGACTCTCCTCTGCCCAGGGACGGGCCCAGTCAATCAGGGGCGCTCCAGACTCGGTGTGCAGGACGAGAGATGTCAGGTGAGCGGGGCAGGCGGGGAGCAGGAGCAGGCGGGACTGGTAAGTCCGCCAGGTGAAGCTGAGAATGGAGAGGCGAGGGGCGGACAGCGAAATGGAGCAGCTGATTCCGTCAAATGTGACATTCGTGGCCAGCGGGAGGTGTAGAGAGTAGCACTTTCGTCCGTCAACGTCGCTCTCACGCTCCCTCCACCCGTCCGTGTTCCTTGTAGCGCTTTCAGCGCCCTCTTTGCCCTCCTCAGCTGCAAAGTGATTTGCAGTGGAGATTAGGTCGAGAGTGCGAAGCTGGGCAAATAAGCAGGAGACGAAGCGAAGGACGAGCGGCGAGCAGGCGGGGAGAGAGAGCTCTAGGCGAGACAGCACGGGAAACGGCCTTTACATGTCATCATCTAGATGTGAGAAATGATTTCGATCATCATCCGGCTTACATTCCTCTATGATCGAAATCATCTCCCACATCTCAGCCACCATCACTGCGTCGTTGCAGCCGTGCCGCGCCATCTCTTGCTGGCTGTCTGTCCGCGCGGTGCCATGAAAAAGGGAGAGCGACTCGAGGCGCGGAGCTTGCGAGAGGGAGTAGAGAAGACGCGGAGGGAAGAGAAGGCGACGGGAGAAGTCGAGATCGAGAGAAGTGAGGGAGGAGAGGTAAGGGAAAAGGCAGGAGCGTAAGAGGGAGGCAAAGAGGCGCGGAGGAAAAGTATCAAGAGAGAAGATGAACTGGGAAGGGCGGTGGTGCTGTTTGGTCAGCCACGTGAAGCTGCGAATTCGTTGCGAGAGGGGGATGGGGGGGATTGAGCACGGGCATGCTTCGTATAACACGAGAGGCCGTCCGAGGCAAAACCGTCGCCCGATAGAGCGCGCCGAATGCACGGCATGGCGATGGCGCAAGCCACGAGCGGCCACGAGCAGCAGCACCCGTCTCTCTCAACCACCGCCTTCGCGACGCGCCGCCACACGTCGACGGGTAGGGCGTTTAGGTCTCCGTAACGAGCTTCCGCCTCGGGTTGGGTGTCGAGGGCTCGCCGCGTCGTGACCGCGCGCTCTCCGCATTTCGATCGCTTTGCACGCGGAGGGGTGATAATGGACGGCTCCCCCTCCTCCACTTGTTCCTCCTCTTCCTCCCCTTGTTCAGCCTCCAGTCCCTCCTTTTCGAGTTCCTCCTCCAGCAGCTCACATGGACTAGCGCTCCCTCTAACCTTCATCCCGCTTCGTGACTTCCTCCCTCTAGAGCCACCAGCCGCGTCACATCCAAACGTTACCGTTGAAGGGTAGTCGAGTTTCACGATATCAAATTCCTGTCCTGGAAAAAAACTTGTGCTGTGTGTAAGTGAATCGTCAATCTCGTTCTACAAGTCTGTTGGTGGTGGTATGCCCTCTAGCTGACAGGATTGCCGTGCTGCCCTGTCAAATACATATTTGTCAGTGCAATTGTGAGGGAGGGAAATCTGGTGCGAAACACAGTGGTGCATCGAGTAACAAGCTCGAAATTCGTCGATGTGAAAATGTTTGAGACACTGGAGGGTTCATGTCAAAGAAAACATCATCAGCAGTGTTACTGCATAAAAATGGCATTGGAATTTTAAGTACATATAAGGAGTACAATTAGCCCCAACGCGTACAACACTGTGCACTGCACCGCGACCATTCTCTTCGCGCATTACCAGTCGTCGTTGCTCGTTACACAGCGCCGGCGTGCCATATGTAAAAACGTTCTTGCTGGGGGTCCTACAGCATCACATAGTACAACCCCCACTCTCAGAAAGTGTAGGCTCTGCCTGATATCCTCGACCAAAGACCACTCTGCATGCATCACCATTGGACACATTCCATTCCACCACCCAAACTCCCAACCCAACCTCAGAATTCCAAGGTCCCAGCAGGGACTCCCCGCCTAGTTATGGGCTTTGCTATATTTTCCCCAACTTCTATTTTGTCAGTTGACTGAAACACAGCTCCATTGCTCGTTTCGCGTATTCGATTTTAAATCTCCCCTTGTGATGCGTGGCAAGAAAGTACCCTCAGATCCTTACTTCCTAATATCATTATGAAACATCATACACTTTCATGTATCACCTGTAGTAACCACTTCAGCACTGGCATGGGAAGCAATAGGTTGGGATTTCTCCATAAATTGTTGAGGAGGAGGCGTCCTGTTCTGGTTTTCTCTGAAATCTGCACACCGCCAAGCATACGCACACACAAGACATAAGTCATGTAGGTTGAGAATACCCCCAACATGTAATGCAATCAAAACACGCTCGTCAATGGAGAGGGCCTCAGCCAGGGCTGTTGAGCCGGCACTCCTGGGAGATGGCGGAGAGCGAACCGCACCGGATCAGGCTAGAGGAATCACAGGGCACTCACCAGCATGTACCCCACAAGACGCAGGACACTCACCGATAGACAGGACCCAGCCACGACTCTTAAGCTCTCGGTACTCCTGGGAGATCGCACAAATGCACAGCACCAGTGCAGGCTAGACGAATTGGGTTACGAGGCATGCGGCTGTATCAGCCTCAGAGGGGAATCACCAAGCGACAGGTCCCAGCCACTGTTCTTAAGCTCTCGGTACTCCTGGGAGATGGCACAGAGCGCACAGCAGCAGTGCAGGCAAGAAGCAGCATCAGGTCCCCAGGCATGCGGGTGTTTTTGAGAATTCTCAAAAACTCCCTGCAACCTCATACACAGCACTCACCGATTGACAGGTCCCAGCCACGCCTGGTAAGCTCTCGGTACTCCTGGGCGATGGCGCAGAGCGCACAGCAGCAGTGCAGGCTAGGATTATCAGGTGAGGGTCATCAAGCATGTGCCAGTGCCAGCATTAGTATTGCTCGCAGGACACTCACCAACGGACAGGTCCCAGCCGCGCTTGCTGAGCTCTCGGTACTCCTGGGAGATGGCGCAGAGCGCACAGCACCAGTGCACCCATAGGTCCCCCCATGACTTTTCTGAAGTTTTTTTTTATCCCTCAGGCTCTCTAGGTATTTGAGGCGGCTCAGATGCTGTTTCGGCCTCACAGGACACTCACCATTGGATAAGTGCCAGCCGCTCTCGGTACTCATGGGAGATGGCACAGAACGGACAGCACCAGTGCAGGCAGAAATCACCACACCAGTGCAGGCTATAACATCAGGGTCACCACGCGTGTGCGTTTGCATCACCAACACTCACAGGACACTCACCAGTAGAGAGGTCCCAGCCTCGTCTGGTGAGCTCTCGGTATTCCTGGGAGACGGCACAGCACCAGTGCAGCAGCGTAGAGGAATCGGGTTACCAAGAATGTGCGTGTATCAGCCTCACTGACCACTCACCAATAGATAGGTCCCAGCCTCGCCTGGTGAGCTCTCGGTACTCCTGGGAGATGGCGCAGAGCGCACAGCACCAGTGCACCCATAGGTCCCCCCATGACTTTTCTGAAGTTTTTTTTTATCCCTCAGGCTCTCTAGGTATTTGAGGCGGCTCAGATGCTGTTTCGGCCTCACAGGACACTCACCATTGGATAAGTGCCAGCCGCTCTCGGTACTCATGGGAGATGGCACAGAACGGACAGCACCAGTGCAGGCAGAAATCACCACACCAGTGCAGGCTATAACATCAGGGTCACCACGCGTGTGCGTTTGCATCACCAACACTCACAGGACACTCACCAGTAGAGAGGTCCCAGCCTCGTCTGGTGAGCTCTCGGTATTCCTGGGAGACAGCACAGCACCAGTGCAGCAGCGTAGAGGAATCGGGTTACCAAGAATGTGCGTGTATCAGCCTCACTGACCACTCACCAATAGATAGGTCCCAGCCTCGCCTGGTGAGTTCTCGGTATTCCTGGGAGATGGCACAAAGCGGACAGCACCAGTGCATCCAGAAGTCTCCGCAGGGCTTTTCTGGAAGGTCGTATCTGGCCCTTAGAGTTTCTCGGTACTCTGAGTATGGAGGGAGGGTGGGGGGAACGGAGGGAGGTTGGGAGGGAGCGCGGGATGCAAGTTCTGGATTTTTATGTACCGCAGCAACCACTCTAGCTTCATTGGAATAACTTTCGAGAGTTCTTAAACGTTCTAGCCTTTTAAATTGAGTCAAACGCCACTTAGTCGCCTCAAGAGTAACCTCAAAAGGAAAGAGAGAGTGGGAGAGAAAGCACCTGTGGAAACGATACAGCCGTTGCAGCAGAGGCACTCGATGATGCACCAGAAGGTTTTAAAGTTGACTACAAAGGCCCTAGTAAACCTCAAGTCACCTCAAAAAGAAAAAACAGAGAGAGAGGGAGAGAGAGTGGGAGAGATAGTCGGAGAGAGAGTGGGAGAGAGAGTGGGAGAGAGAGTGGGAGAGAGAGTGGGAGAGAGAGTGGGAGAGAGAGTGGGAGAGAGAGTGGGAGAGAGAGTGGGAGAGAGAGTGGGAGAGAGGGGGCACCTGTGGAAACGATGAAGCCGTTGCAGCAGAGGCACTCAGCGATGCACCAGAAGGCGCAGATGTCACTTGCGTCTGCAATTCACAGGGCACAGAGGGGGTCTGAGATTCACAGGGCACAGAGGGGGTCTGAGATTCACAGAACATGAAGCAAGCGTATCATGAGTCACTCGTGAGTATCATGAGTCACTCGAACCGGGTCAAAGGATGATAACGAGTATATATACAGCTAAGGCTTCACTTTTGAGACGTCTCAGAAGTTAACTTCTTTTACTTCTGAGACGTCTCGTCACAGAGGGGTCTGAGATTCACAGGGCACAGAGGGGGTCTGAGATTCGCAGGGCACAGAGGGGGTCTGAGATTCGCAGGGCACAGAGGGGGTCTGAGATTCGCAGGGCACAGAGGGGGTCTGAGATTCACAGAACACGAAGCAAGCGTATCATGAGTCACTCGTGCCGGGTCAAAGGATGATAACGAGTATATATACAGCTAAGGCTTCATTTTTGAGACGTCTCAGAAGTTAACTTCTTTTACAGAGGGGTCTGAGATTCACAGAACACGAAGCATTGTATCACGAGTCACTTGTGCCAGGTCAAAGACACGGATTATAACGAGTATACAGCTAAGGATTCACCGTACGATCCACACAGCAAACTTTTGAATCCTTCAGGATTTTTTTCTTCCTAAATCTCGAAAAACCCTGCATCTGCATCATACCCGTGGCAGGTCAGTGAGAATGATGATAACGAGTACTTGTAATGCGTTACTCCGAGGCCCACGTCATTTTCTGAGCCTTCTGATACGTTTCTAGTGACTGCTACCGGCGCTACCACGAATAGTATCGCGCATTTTCGTCTCACATGGGCCCTTTTCATTTTCGTCTCACATAGGCCATTCTCATTTTCGTCTCACATAGTCCCTTCGCCTTTTCGTCTCACATAATCACTTCTCATCTTCGTCTCACATAATTACTTCTCATTTTCGTCTCACATCGTCTTTTTTTCTTTTCTTTCCGCGATAGAGCATAATAGGTTGAAATAAAGGAAAGAAGACTGAAACGCCGTTTGCCTACCGTGTTTGCCTGCGTCCACGAAGTTAGCGACTCGGCCAACGGCTAGACAGGGACACCAAAGGACGAGACAGCCTGTAACATGGACGCAGGGCGAAGAATAAAAAGGAGATTGATTTTGACGAAAAAAAACATAAACTGCTTCATGTCCTCACGAAAAAACGGAAAAGTTACATGAATTCATATCTTCGAAACAGCCGCACCAGCCAGAGGTCCATTGACCCAACCAGGCCTGTCGAAGTTCCTGGGGCCCATACTTGGAGTCCCCAGCTCCTCCCTATCTGACCCTGTTTTGGCCGTAGCTGAGTGTTTTGGCGCCCTTAACGGTCACGGGCGCAGGCCAAAGTGAAAACTTGAAATCCGGGCTTGCACTTACACTATCTTAGCTAAGGGAAAGTTCGGCTGCTCCAAAGCTGACTTAGAGATATCACAAACACGGGATTGGCTAGAAAACGCTAAGGGAAAAATCCCCTTGGCACACTCTCGTGCAACCTAAGGAGAAAGGGGGGGGGAGTGGGGGGGTCAGGCAGAATTTCTTGGGGGGGGAGGGTCCTAGAACCGGAAATCAAGACTTTGTGGGTGGGGAAGGCCTGGTTGGAGCACTTAACGCATCCGGGGAAGGGTCGAACGAAGCACTTAGTGGCACGGGTGCAGGGCGATCCTAACACTTTATGCAGTCGAGCTGGAGCGAAAGTAGCCCGGAATGTTCAGGGCATTAAGGGCATATGCCCGTCAATCGACAGGCCTGGACCCAACTCAGGGTAATTGCCTTCCGCCATGTCGCCCAAGTGAAAGTCACGCTTCAAGAAGTTATCGAACGTAGCGAACAAACTAAGACTTTTTCCCGAAAATGGTAAGGTGTGCAAATATGGCAGGTGCATGTGGAAATAGGTAGTGCAGGCAGGGTATGAGGTGAGGGGAGTCGAGTGTGGGGTGATGAGTGGGGGGAGGGCATCGAGTGTGGGTCGACGTGAGGTGTCGCTTCGGGAAGGAATCGCGCCACGGCACAATGGAATCTTGCAAACCGTTGTGCTTCGGGTTCGGCTTGGTGTGCGCTTGATAGGCTTAGACAGGTTTGGTTTGGGTTTGCTTTGGGTAAACTTCCGGCTTGGGTGTTCACGGGGATTTAATTCTGATACACAAGAGAAACTACTAAACAACAAAAGAATATACGGTAAACCAGTATATTATTATACAAAATGCTTCTCACATGGTGTTATATTATGCACAATGAGCAGTAAATGCCACTTCATACGCCTGTTCTCCTCGCCGGCCCAGCATCTTTCCGGTCCCAAAGCGTCCTTCCAGAGAGAACGGAGGAGAGGCGCTCAAAGAGAGTCCTGCATGCAACACCAAGGCCCAAGGGAGGCAAAGAAACAATGGTCATCACAACAATCTAAAAATAGCAATATATATAGATATAGATAGATATTTATATATCCGAGGGGGGAATGGAGGGGAGGAGGAGGGGGAGGGAAAGGGGAGATATCACGGGGCAAGGAGAAGCAAATCGACGGAGCGGGAAGGCCGAGGGCAGACAACGATGATCACACGAGTACTCACCATGTGACTGTTTGCTGCACTTTTAAGTTCACTCAAAAGTCAACCTGATCATCTGATGGTCAACAATCTCAAAAGTCACGTGACCACACGTACACTCACCATGTGAGTGCTTGCTGCATTGATCGCTTCAGCACACGCGGCACCACCCCTCGGAAGAAACCAGGAAGACCCTGCGACTGGGGGAGACGGAAGGGAAGGAGAAAACGGAAGGGGGAAAAGGGGCAGTAAGAGGGGAAGGATGGGAAGGCGAGTGAGTGCCTGCTGCATTGATCGCTTCAGCACACGCGGCACCACCCCTCGGAAGAAACCAGGAAGACCTTGCGACTGTGGGTGGGTGGGGGGAAGAGGGAGGAGGAAACAGAGGAGATGGGGGACACGGCGAGGGGGGGGGAGGGGGGGGAGTGGGTGGGGGACAGATGGAACAGAGGCAATGGAAGAATCGAATGGATGGGACCAAAAGTGCGAACAAGAAACGACTATTGAGGTGCCGAAATAAACATATAGAAATTTCACCATCCTTGTTTTTACCATCTACCTTGTAGATGGCTGACGTGGCACCGAGCATGGTCAGCGGCTTGCCAGGTGTCGCACGCAGAGAGGCCAGCTGCAGATGGGTTCGCACCTGAAGAGGAAAGACAAAAGCACACATGCGGCTGACATGAAGAGCAGATGGGGATCAGGTGACTTTTGAGTCGACTCAAGAGCAGGTGGGGATCAGATGAGCTTAGATGAACCGAATGGGGACATGAAGATAGATCTGGTTTGAGACCTCTCAAAACACAGTCACTCTCATGCAGGTGGGTTCGCAACTGAAGTCGGGATGCAAACACACACGCGAAGAGAACACCAGGTGGGGAGCAAATGAGCACAGATGAACTGAATCCGTTCATTGGAAAAAACAAATGAACTGAATCCGTTCATTGGAAAAAACAAATGAACTGAATCGTTCACTGGCGAAACCAGAAGAAATAGAGATGCACTGACAAGAAGAGGAGATTGCATGCAAGCTAGGCAGTGTTGTCATCATGCCTACTCACGTGCTCATGCTTTCATCATGTCTTAACTGTACTCAGTGCGTGAAAATGCTCGGAAAAATGTGAGTGAAGATTTCACTCGCAAATGCTCAATGTGCAAAGCTCAGTGAACAACACTCACCACGCAGGCGGGTGGGTCAGAATGGTTGCGAGGATCCCCGCTGCTGCTCCTGTGAATGGTTGCAGTCAATGTAGGGATACCTAACTCACAACTGCTCAATCAGCAAAGCTCAGTGACTAATGCGCACCACAACAGGTGGGTGGTTCAAAATTGTTGCAAGAGCAGCTTTTGAGTGGACCCAAAAGTCACCCCGATGCTCACTGCTCAGTGCTGACCACATCAGGTGGGTGGGTCAGAATGGTTGGGAGAGCGGCTTTTTGGTGAGCTCAAAACGCGCCTCGTTTTGAGTGAACTCAAAACTCACACCTCAGTGCTCAATGCTTGTTGCTCACCACATCAGGTGGGTGGGTCAGAATGGTTGCAAGAGCCCCCGCTGCTGCTCCTGTGATTCGCTCAAGGGAAAGCAGGGAGGGGGTACGGAGGCAGGGAAGGAGGCAGGTAGGTTTCGGATCAGACCTGCTTGAAATGTGACAACAGGGTGTTGTGTTGACACATGGGACAACCAGGCAGGAGGAACTAAGGGTCTGTGGAAGAGTTGACTTTTGAGTCGACTCAAAAGTCAACCAACCAGGCAGGAGGAACAAAGGGTCTGTGGAAGAGTTGACTTTTGAGTCGACCAAAAGTCAACCAACCAGGCAGGAGGAACAAAGGGTCTGTGGAAGAGTTGACTTTTGAGTCGACTCAAAAGTCAACCAACCAGGCAGGAGGAACAAAGGGTCTGTGGAAGAGTTGACTTTTGAGTCGACTCAAAAGTCAACCAACCAGGCAGGAGGAACAAAGGGTCTGTGGAAGAAGTTTACCTACGTTGATTGAACTTTTGAGAATTCTCAAAAGTTCAATCAACGTACTTGGAATGTGGCACCAGGGTGTTGTGTTGACACATGGGACAACCAGGCAAGAGAAATAAAGGGTCTGCGGAAGAAATAGGTGGAACAAGTAGATGTCTCGAAAGGTCAACACAGGCACATGCAGACCAAGAAGAGGGGGGGGGCAGACCAGCATAGAAATAGGTAGAATGTGGAACATAGGGTCTGTAGGAGAAATAGGAAATAGGTGGAAGAAGTAGATGTCTGGACCAAGAAGGAGGGGCCAGCATGGTCCGTCTTGGTCAACAAATGCAAATACGGACCAAGAAGGAGGGGCCAGCATGCTTGCTGCAATTGTTCAAGACAGAAGACACGGTGGCAAGAACCCACCCCATGCCACCCCATCCGACCCCACCCCACCCCAACCCACCCCACCCCACCCCACCCCACCCCACCCCACCCCACCCCAGCCAACCCAACCCCACACACCTGCTGCCATGGTGGACACTGTGCGCGCTGCATGGCCATCATCGGTTGAGATGCGATCTGTTTCTCGGAGGAAAGATTATGGGCGATGGAGAAGGGCAGTGCAAAATGGGGGTGGAGGATGGAGGATGGAGGAGAGAATAGAGGCGAGCACATGCATTATCATGGATGAGGGAGCGAGCGAGCGCATGTGCGTACAGAGAAGGACAGGTACCATGTGGCCCAGGAGGCACATAGAAAGTTGACTTTTGAGTCGACTAAAAAGAGAAGGGCAGGTACCATGTGGCCCAGGAGGCACATAGAGAGTTGACTTTTGAGTCGACTAAAAAGAGAAGGGCAGGTACCATGTGGCCCAGGAGGCACATAGAGAGTTGACTTTTGAGTCGACTAAAAAGAGAAGGGCAGGTACCATGTGGCCCAGGAGGCACATAGAGAGTTGACTTTTGATTCGACTAAAAAGAGAAGGGCAGGTACCATGTGGCCCAGGAGGCACATAGAGAGTTGACTTTTGAGTCGACTAAAAAGAGAAGGGCAGGTACCATGTGGCCCAGGAGGCACATAGAGAGTTGACTTTTGAGTCGACTAAAAAGAGAAGGGCAGGTACCATGTGGCCCAGGAGGCACATAGAGAGTTGACTTTTGAGTCGACTAAAAAGAGAAGGGCAGGTAACATGTGGCCCAGGAGGCACATAGAGAGTTGACTTTTGAGTCGACTAAAAAGAGAAGGGCAGGTACCATGCACCCCAGGGGGCACATAAAACCAGCACATCCATACATCACCCTACCCCAGAGCACATACATACATTACCCTACCCTAGTCACATACATTACCATGAACAGGGGGGCGCATGCGGGAATAGAGAGCCCAAGATAGATACGGAGTATGGTGCAACTCTCACATACTTACATCACCATGCATGCAGGCTACTTTTGAGACATCTCAAAAATACCCTTTATACACGTGGCCTCTTACACACTTACATCACCATGCATGCAGGCCGCCACATACATACATTACCCTCCCCGAGGGCACATAAATTACCATGAATGAGGGAGCGCATGCGGGAATAGAGTACGAGGTAGATTCCTGAGTACGGTGCATCTCTTAGCAGGGTGCTCCCCAATCCTCGATATAAACCTGTAAACATCCAATAACGACCACGCGTACACAATATACATGTCGAAGATGCACAATCGGTGTCTTTTCGTGACCATCAAGAATTGTACCGCAAAACAAAACAAAACATAACAGTACAAACAGAAAGGTAAGCTATTACTGCAACAAAGTGCACAATAAATTGCCTTTACCTGCAATTCCTTCTGACCTGGCAATCGACATTAATCCTCCAAGCGTTCCTCTATAGGACTCTCCGCTCACTGCAGAAAACTGCACTGTAGAAAGGGGGACAGAAGAATTACACACACAAAGCAAGAGCAGACTGAAGATTGATCACCCCAGGTATCCCATTGTAAGGCTTTCCAATAGCAGCATAAAACTTCACTACTGTAGAAAGAGTGTTGCGTGAAAAAAGGTAATGCAAAAAGAATAGGATAGATTGTATTGCTGCCCAGGACACAGCTGAAAACAGGAAAGTGAGAAAAGAAAACGTGAAATCACCCACACACTGCTGCACTGGGAACCAGAACAGCCAGGTGGAAACAGATACGGGGAACAGCGCAGCAGCCAACAGCGATCGCGAAACCACGATGCTGCAGGTGTTGGTGTTACCACTAGGATGTAACACAAGAGCTCTCACTCACTTCCCCCCTTTTCCCACCCCCTTTACCCTTCCCCCCCCGTTCCCCCTTCACCTCCATGCATGTCGTCACCACGGACACAGGGCACAGCGCACAGCAGCAGCAGCAGCAGCAGCAGCAGCAGCAGCAGCCAGCGCGTGTTTCAACGTCAGCGTGCTCGCCAACAAGAGCACTAGCTCCTCTCTTCCATCCCCCCTCCCCCACCTCCCACTAACCTCCATGCGTGTCTTCACCACGGAAACGGGGCACAGCGCAGCAGCCGCCAGCGAAAGCAAGAGCATCATAACGCGAATGTTGGTGTTACCGATTGAATGCAACAAGAGCGCTCACCTACCCCATTCGCTGTTCCCCCATTCACCTCCCACTAACCTCCATGCGTGTCTTCACCACGGACACAGGGCACAGCGCAGCCGCCGCCAGCGATCGCGAAACCACCGCCGCCATGAACGTAACCCGCGACGAGAACTGCGGAGCACCCGCACCCGCACCTGAAACCCCACCCTTCCGACTATCCCCACCCAGCGCCGCACCCTCCTCTTCCCCCACCCCGCCTTCCTCCCTCCCCTTCTGCCGCCTCCGCCTCCGGTTTTCCTCCACGGTATTCTCTAGGGCGGCGAGAGCGTGCATGGCTGGATCCAACGTGGCAAAGAAAAGCCCGAGGCCCAGCCCGAGTCGCACGCACGTGGGTCCCGTGCCGCGCCACAGCCCTCTCACGCCCTCCTTCTGGAGAATCATCCGAACCACGTGGCTCATGCTCGGCTGTAACGGCGGCGCGGTTGCCGCTGCGGCTAGGGCTTTTCTAGTGGCGGCGGTCGCGGCGGTGGTGGCGGCAGTGGCGGCTGTAGTGGCGGCGGTGGTGCTTGCCGAGGTTGTGGCGGGGTTTGTAGCAGCGGCTGTAGCTGCGGTTGTCGCGGCGCTTGCAGTGAGCCCTATAACAGCGTCTACCGCTGCCGATCTTAGCGATCGAGATCCCACGTCTTTCGCTGCGGATGCTACTGATGATGATGCCATCTTTCCAACGGACGGTGACGATGATCCCTGCAGATGCGTGCGGATCACATCGAACGGCTGCAGAAGAACGCCTGTGATAAGCCCTGTCGTCGCTCCCCATAGAAAATTCCCGCCGATTCTTCGTGTTTTTCCGGATCCTGACACTCCCGAGTCATGATTCTTTAAAGCGACGGTGCACATTTGCCACCCAAAACCCAGAACCCTGGCGAACTGTTACTGCGGATGGAAAGTGTCCGCACGAAATCCTGGTTTTCGCCAGCCAGCACTTTCGCACTGGCAAGCCTGGTTCAAAAAAAAAACTTCTGAACCCAACACTGCCAAAAGTTGCCCGTCGCTTTAAGGAAGCAGGACTGCTATTGCCTGATGTTGCCGTCGAGTCGCTAACTGAGCTATCGCCTGCTGCTGCAGACGAAGTCATGGCCGGACTGGAAGAATCCCTAGACAACCGACCCGCAAAAGAAAAATATTCGCTAAAAAAAAAACTATTGCTATTCGAAGAAACTGTCACTAATGCAGATGGAAGAAACGACACTACCAAAGGTATCTGAAGCGCTTAAAGTTGATCGCAATACACACTCGCGAAACAAGGCAGGTGCAGCCGCGAGCCACAGGCAAGCGGCGAGTGGAGGGCTGACAAGGGATATAGCAGGCCCGCAAACAACGGCTAGTGGAAGCAGGGGTGGACTAATATGGTTCATCCGAGCCCTGGTGGGCGCAAACCCACCAGGTGCCTCTCCCCACCAGGATGCGCGAGCTGGCGGAAGCTTTCTGCCCGGGGCAAAAAAACTATTCCCCATCGCGACCGGCATGCCGTTCGGGAGCCTCAACCCTAAAATTTTAGGGTTGATGCCTCCCGAACCGCATGCCTTTCGAGTGGGCTTTAGATTTTTCTTGCCCGCGGGCAGCTCGCTTCCGCGAGCACGCGGAGGCCTTGTGGTAATGTGATCTCCTGACATGACAACCTTGAGGGTGCAGATGCGCATTTATTTCTATTGGTCGGGTAAAGATTCTTCAATGACACACCAGTTTGCGATGTTGATTTCCTTCGCAAGGGTTACCATTTTTTCGTAGAAGCATTTACCGGTTCGTCAAATCCTTCCGCCCACATCAATTTGGGTAGAAACTTGAAAGGCCCTTTCCCTTTGATATTTGCATTTCCGAGGAGCTTGGAGTGGTGTTGATGATACGTGTCTCTGTGCCTGGGGCTTGGGATCGGTCGATCGGACGGTTCTGGTGGATGCGACGTGCGTGAATGACCTTGAACCAAAGCGCGTCATGAGGCGACACTCGTCAGATTGGTAACGCTGGATTCGCATAACTCGTCAAGCTCTCAATTCTCAAGCTAGAATCAATGAAACCGCAAGGGCGTATTTGCTGAAACTCTGCTTTTCATTCCGTCCCTTGCTTTGCTGGTCAGTAGCAACTGCCCACCTACACCTGGTGGCGTCAAGTTGTGCTTCGGACCCATTCATGATGTACGGTTCAGCTAGTTTCCTCGCGTTTCATCACGGTTTTCATGGCTCATCACGGTTCTTGGGGGTTCCTTCCAGAACGCAAAACAACAAATCAAACCTGTGTGCAGCTTACGCAAAACAACAAATCAGTCCTGCGTACGGTCTAGACCTTCGAGAACATCCCTCCCAATTCCCAAGGTCACTCATCGTCTCTCCTCTCTCGTCATCCTCCCACCATTCATCATCCTTCGCCACCTTTTCATCAATTGTCTTGATTGGGTGTTTTTCCAAGGGAAAAGATCATACAGGGGCCGAACGGTGCCAGGGAGGTGTTCGAACAAGGGCCGAGAGGCCCGAAACTAACCAGACCACTGCTCTACAAGGTATTTTCAGAGGGATATCATTTGATGAACGCATATTCGTTAAAATTTTGCATTTTGTCTCGCGCGTCATTTTTCATGGAAATGTTTACTGATTCATCACCTTCCACCCAATAGCGTCGTTTAGCAAGCCAGAAACTCTTAGGGCAGTAAAAAAAAACTAAAACCCCAAGGGGAACCTGTATGCATTTTCGGGATGGATCAACCCTAAAAACGGGAACCTTCGTTGTGTTTAGGGTTGATGCCTCCCTAGTCGCATCCATTTCAAATGGGTATTTTTTTTTTCTGCGCGTGTCAGATCAGGGAGTGATATTTATCACCCATAATGAATTTGTTTTTGGACTCACAAATTAACACAGAAGAACGCGATGTGCGCGTAGTAGTAGACGGCGGTCGTAACCATTGTTTTAATAAGTTGGACACAAATTTTGGTGCTGGTAGCATTTCTCTTTAAGTCACGGCTCGGCTTGTTCGCCTAGCCTCTTGGGCAGCTCGGGGTCGAAAATCCTACGGTCGAGATTTTCTGGCCCTACTTCGGTCATTCCTCTGGCACTCTTCGGCCCCAGTTTGATCATTTCCCTTTGTCCAAGCAGCTCGTCCCTACCACTCCCATCCCAACCCAACCCAACTAGACTGGACTGGACACCCTCCCATCACTGCTTGCCACCTCCTAAAATATTTGCCACGTCCCAAAATATCGACTACATTATCTCTTGATCGAGTGCGACGGCATTTACGTTTCCAGGCGTCGATTTGAAATTGCTCCCCTGACGTGATCGCTGTGTCAGTCCTAACTTATAGACATTTCCCTGTTCTGTTCGGTCATGACTCATCAAATCGCCTGCTAAGCTCAAGCTGTTTCATATGGACGTACAAAGGTATGTAACTCTTACCCGCGATAAAAAAAAAAACTTATCTCGCGCTTTGTTGCGACGATTTATCTTCCTAGGATACCCCTTGTGCTCATAATGAATAACGGCGATGAACAAAAAGTAGAACTATGCTGCATTGTCGCCTTTTTTATTTAGTTACATCTATTTATGTATTTATTGAGCGCTTAGCTTGTTTTCGTGCCGTGAAGTGTGCTGGAGACAGAAATTGAAGCGAACACCAATAAGGCCTAATGCAAGCCACCGACGAATGTTATTGTTACCATTGCAATGCAGTAATGCCAAGTTAGTTTGTGAAGAAAGAATGAAACGAAATAAAACGAAAAAAAAATTATTTTGTAGGGAGTGAAAGTCTCATGTCAATCGGCGCTCTTCGTTTGCTGCTGCTGGTTGCACAAACGTTACATCTTTCTCTTCTTGAGCCGACTAAAAACTCGACGAGAATTTTGAGTCGACTAAAAAATGACGACATCTCTCCCTTCTATTCAACAAGTTCTCCGCAAATCATTTACACTATCTTTTGTTCTTCTGCCCAGATCTCGCGAGAGATTCGCGCGGCTGTTGGCGGGGGACGCGGATGGCGCGCAGCAGCTCGGCGCGCAGCAGCAGGGGGGGGGTGGGGAGTCGTCCAGGGACGGCAATGACAGCACGGATCCGCTTCTGCTGTCTATCCTGACGTGGCACCAGGACATCACGTACGCGGTAAGAACAGGGCGGAAAGTCGAGCTGAGCTTCGAAGATCCGTTTATTCTCTTCCGAGACTGGCATTCATTATCGTCACAGCAGATGAAAAAAAAACTTGTTCCAAATACTACTCATCGGCTTTTCACTGAAAGTCCACCGATCCAATCTGTTCTTCCCCCTTCCCTCCCTCTCTCCCATTTCGTCTTCCCTTAAGTCTCTCCCATCCCTGTCCTCATTCGGCCGTGCAAGACTCCCTTCCTCCCCCCTCAACCCCCCCTCCCCTCCCTTCTCATCCTTCCCTTCTCATCCTTCTCCTCCTCCCCTCCCCCCCTTCCACCTCCCTCTCCCCCTCTTCCCCCAGCTCTGCACGTACACAGACGAGCTCTGCCAGCAGCATAGGAATGCCGAGGCTGGGAACGCTGCGGCTGGGAGTGCCGAGGCTGGGAATGCCGAGGCTGGGAGTGCCGAAGCTGGGAATACGGAGGAAGCAGGGGCGACAGACAAAGCAGCAGCGGTGACAGAAGAGGGCGGAGGCGAAGCGGACCGCCAGGGTTCGATTCCTGCCGTCGTCAAAGCAGCAGTTTTGGCGGAACTACAGAGTAACGGGTATCTCAAGGCATTCCAGGCGCTTATATCCGAGGGTCAAGGTCTGGTTGAGCAGGCGCGGGGGAACTTGGGGGAGCGGGCGGAGGGGGAAGGATCGGGGGAGGGGGAAGGAACGGGGGCGGGGGAGAAGCGAGGGAAGTTGATAGCGGAGGGGGGCTGGCGGGGGGAGTTGGCGCTTCCGCTGCTGGATATGTTCGGAACGGTGCATAGGCTGAAAGGGAGGGTGGCGGAGTGGGTGGGGGGGTGCGAGCGGGCGGGGGAAAGCGGGAAGGGAAGCGGGGAAGCGAGCGGGAAGGCATCGGGGGAGGCGAGTGAGGGGGCGGGGGAGGCGGAGGGGGAGGGGGAGCGGGCGTGGGAGCAGTTGGAGGAGGAGGTAGCAGCGGCAGCCATGGCCGCATTGCAGGCGGGCAGGGATGAGATTATGGCTGAGGTCAGAGCCGTGGCGGCGGAATGCACTCAACTGCAGGGCGAAGCGGGCGGGTGAGTGGCTGAGGGATTGGGGGTTGAGAGATTGGGTGGGTGGGGGAAGAGTGGCGGGCGGGTGAGTTAGAGCCGTGGCAGCGCTGCAGGCGGGCAGGGATGAGATCATGGGGAGGTCAGAGCCGTGGCGGCCGAATGCACACAGCTGCAGGGCGAGGCGGGCGGGTGAGTATGCTTTGCCCTTGCGACTGGTGTCTAGGCATCAATAGGGCGCTCTGAGCGATGGCCGCGCTGCAGGCTGGGAGAGACGAGATAATGGCGGAGACCAGGGCCATAGTGGCGGAATGCACTCAGCTGCAAGCTATGGCGTGCGGGTGATTGATGGGGGAGGGGAGGAGGGGGGGTTAGCGGGCAGGTGCGTGTGGTTTGGCTTTGAAACGGGTGAGTTTAGGCTGCGGAGGGATAAACGGTTGTTTGGTTTGGCGGTCAGAGCGATGGCAGCGCTGCAAGCGGGCAGGGATGAGATGAGATAATGGCGGAAATCCGAGCCGTCACCCGTGGCGGCGGAATGCACTCAGCTGCGAGCTGTGGCGGGCGGGTGAGTGGTACAGCAGCAAGGCAGACAAGGGGAGCGCCAAGTGTCTCGTGAAGCGAGAGTGTTTTTGAGACGTCTCAAAATCACTCTCGCTTCGGGTGAGTGGTACAGCAGCAAGGCAGACAAGGGGAGCGCCAAGTGTCTCCACCTCTCCGTCTGCCCACTCTCCTTCCCGTCCCATCCCATCCCATCTCATCCCATCCCATCCCATCCCATCCCATCCCATCCCATCCCATCCCATCCCATCCCATCCCATCCCATCCCATCCCATCTCATCCCATCCCATCCCATCCCATCCCATCCCATCCCATCCCATCCCATCCCATCCCATCCCATCCCATCCCATCCCATCCCATCCCATCCCATCCCATCCCATCCCATCCCATCCCATCCCATCCCATCCCACCATCCCATCCCATCCCATCCTATCCCATCCCATCCCATCCCATCCCATCCCATCCCATCCCATCCCATCCCATCCCATCCCATCCCATCCCATCCCATCCCATCCCATCCCATCCCATCCCATCCCATCCCATCCCATCCCATCCCATCCCATCCCATCCCATCCCATCCCATCCCATCCCATCCCATCCCATCCCATCCCATCCCATCCCATCCCATCCCATCCCATCCCATCCCATCCCATCCCTTCCCTTCCCATCCCATCGCATCGCATCGCATCTCATCCCATCCCATTCCCATTCCATCCCATCCCATCCCATCCCATCCCATCCCATCCCATCCCATCCCATCCCATCCCATCCCATCCCATCCCATCCCATCCCATCCCATCCCATCGCATCCCATCCCATCCCATCCCATCCCATCCCATCCCATCCCATCCCATCCCATCCCATCCCATCCCATCCCATCCCATCCCATCCCATCCCATCCCATCCCATCGCATCGCATCTCATCCCATCCTATCCCATTCCCATCCCATCCCATCCCATCCCATCCCATCCCATCCCATCCCATCCCATCCCATCCCATCCCATCCCATCCCATCCCATCCCATCCCATCCCATCCCATCGCATCCCATCCCATCCCATCCCATTCCCATCCCATTCCCATCCCATCCCATCCCATCCCATCCCATCCCATCCCATCCCATCCCATCCCATCCCATCCCCTCCCACCCCTCCCCACCCAGCTTCAAGCAAGCAGTCACCCTGCGCCGGCAGTACAGCAAGGGGGAAACGGGGAGCGCCAAGTCCCTCCTTCTGCCCACTCTCGCCCATTCCCTCCCATCACACCCCACCCCTCCCCACCCAGCTTCAAGCAAGCAGTCACCCTGCGCCGGCAGTACAGCAAGGGGGGCGCCAAGCCTTAAGCCACGCGCTTCCCCTCTGCCACATCCCTGCCCTCCCTCCCCGCCTCCCTCCCCTCCCCCCGCCCAGCTTCAAGCAAGCAGTCACCCTGCGCCGGCAGTACAGCAAGGGGGGCGGCAAGGCACCGGGAGCCAAGAGCGGGAAGGCAGGCGGGACAGTGAGCGCGGGGGCAGACCCGCTGACTGTCTTTGTGGTGGATCGGATTCGGCAGTTCTGCAGCTGGTGAGTGTTAATCTTGTCATTCACTCCACTTGGTGCCTCATAACGCCTATGGGATGGGACCAGCACAGCCTGTTGCTGTGAGCGCGGGGGCAGACCTCCTGACTGTCTTTGTGGTGGACCGCATTTGGCAGTTCTGCAGCTGGTGAGTGTTAGTCTTGTCATTCACTCCACTTGGTGCCTCATAACGCCTATGGGATGGGACCAGCACAGCCTGTTGCTGTGAGCGCGGGGGGAGACCTCCTGACTGTCTTTGTGGTGGACCGCATTTGGCAGTTCTGCAGCTGGTGAGTGTTAGTCTTGTCATTCTCTCCACTTGGTGCCTCATAACGCCTATGGGATGGGACCAGCACAGCCTGTTGCTGTGAGCGCGGGGGCAGACCTCCTGACTGTCTTTGTGGTGGACCGCATTCGGCAGTTCTGCAGCTGGTGAGTGTTATGGGTACAGGACATGTCCTCCTCCTCCTCCTCCTCCTCCTCCTCCTCCTCCTCCTCCTCCTCCTCCTCCTCCTCCTCCTCCTCCTCCTCCTCCTCCTCCTCCTCCTCCTCCTCCTCCTCCTCCTCTTTAGAACTCTCTATTCTCAATTCCTCTTACCGTTTCCCCGCTTCCCCCGGCCCTCCCCCTCCACCCACCCCCCCATGCCCCCAGGGACACCAAGAACGCGCTGCTAGGAGCACACAGCAACAGTTCCGCCCCCTCCTTCTCCGCCTCTTCAAAATTCTCTCTTCTCAGTTCCTCTTACCCTTTCCCCTTTTCCCCCATCCCCTCCTCGCTCACCCCCCTTCCTCCAGGGACACCAAGCACGCGCTGCTAGGAGCACACAGCATCAGCTCCGCCCCCTCCTCCCTCTCCCAAGCGCTCCTCTCTCAAGCGTCTCACCAGCACTCTATCGCTCTCCTCCTGCCCTGCCCCTCCCCCCTCCCCTCATGCCCCCAGGGACACCAAGCACGCGCTGCTAGGAGCACACAGCATCACTCCGCCCCCTCCTCCTCCGCCTCTTCAACATTCTCTCTTCTCAGTTCCTTTTACCGTTTCCCCTTTCCCCCTCTCTTCCTCGCCCCCATGCCCCCAGGGACACCAAGCACGCGCTGCTAGGAGCGCACAGCATCAGCTCCGCCTCCTCCTCCGCCTCCTCTTCCAGGCGCTCCTCGCTCCCTCGTGCTCCCCACCCGCCGCCTCCTCTGCTTCCAGCTTGCCTCTGTGGTGGCGGGGCGTATTCTCACTTTCTCCTCCCCTTCCTTCTCCCCTCTCCTCTTCCCCTTCCCCCGCCCCTCCCCCTCCACCCTCCCATTCCCCCAGGGACACCAAGCACGCGCTGCTAGGAGCGCACAGCATCAGCTCCGCCTCCTCCTCCGCCTCCTCTTCCAGGCGCTCCTCTCTCAAGCGTCTCACCAGCACGCCTGTCAACACCAACCGCCGCTCCCTCGTGCTCCCCGCCTCCTCCGTTTCCGCCACCTACCCTTCCCCTTCCCCCCCCGTCTCCGTAGCCCCGGCCAGCTCTGTTTCTGCTAACTACTCTTCCTCCCGTTCGTCCCCTCACGCCTCCCCTTCCCCCTCCCCGACCGCTGCTGCCACTGGGGGCGGGGGTGGTGCTGCTGCTGCTGCCAAACCCCCTTCTCCTTCTGCTGCTGCTGCTGCCAAACCCCCTTCTCCTTCTGCTGCTGCTGCTGCCAAGCCGCCTGTTTCTCCTTCTGCTGCCGCTGCTGCTGCAGGGGGTGGTGCTGCAGGGGCAGGAGGAGAAGCAGCAGCAGCAGCAGCAGCAGCAGCAGTCGAACCAGTAACCAGCAGCATCAGCAACAGCAGCAGCGGCGGCGGTGTGGCCCTATGGTCCTACGCCCAGCTCCTAGACATGATATGCGAGCACCAGTCAGACGAGCTCCCTGACTGGCATGATATGGCAACAGGCATGGTGGAAGGGTTGTGGGCGGCTATACAGGCCAAGGCGCCTCTGGTGGCTTCTGCAGTGGCGGATTCGAGGGATGGGGGGGATGCGGGGAAGAAGAAGGAAGAGGAGGAGAAGAAGGCGAAGAAAAAGAGTGGGTTTTTTAAGCTGGGGGGTGGGAAAGAGGGGAAGGAGAAAGGGGATGGAGGCGGGAAGGCTGGTGGCGGCGGCGGGGGTAAAGGGGGGAAGGTATCGGTTCAGGAGATCTTGAGGGGGTTATATCTGTTCAACAATGCGGCCTACATTCAATCGTGAGTGGGGTTTTTGCTAGGTGAGGTTCTTATCGACTGGTGATGGTTGGGGAGAGGGGGTGGTGGTGGTAGAGGGGGGGGGGGAAGGTTTCGGTTCAGGAGATCGTGAGAGGGCTTTATCTGTTCAACAACGCGGCCTACATTCAATCGTGAGTGGAGATTCAGATAAGCTCGTCTGCTGCTGGTGGGGGTGCGAAGGGCGGTGGAGGGGGGAAAGGAGGGAAGGTTTCGGTCCAAGAAGTCTTGAGAGGGCTATATTTATTCAACAACGCGGCCTACATTCAATCGTGAGTGGAGGCGCTTTTCCCCCAATTCTTGTTTCGTTAACCTGTGTGTGTGTGTGCGTGCACGCATTCAGACACTTCTTGTTGTGTCATTCAGACACTCGGATCGTGCCATGCCCCTCAATCCCTCCCATGCCCGTTTAGTTTCGAGGCGCCTCAAAACTAGACTTCAATCGTGAGTGGAGGTGCTTTTCCCCCAATTCTTGTTTCGTTAACCTGTGTGTCATTCAAACTTTCTCATTGTGCCATGCCCCTCAATCCCTCCCATGCCGTTTCAGCGCCCCCCTTCCTCTCCCCACCTCCCCACCCCCTCTCTTCTTGCAATCTTTTCTGTTCCCCGACCTGCGTATGTCAAAGGAGTATCGGCAGCTGGCAGACATTCAGATGAACCGCTTCCTTCCTCCCCTCTATTCATGCCCGGTATTCGTATCTCCCCCACCACTCCCCCTCCTCTCTCATCCCTCCCACTCTTTGCAGCCTGTTCCCTGACCTGCGTATGTCAAAGGAGTATCGCCAGCTGACAGACAGACACTCAGCTTGACTCACCTTTCCCCTCTCCTCCCCCCCCTCGCTTGCAGTCTGTTCCCCGACCTACGTATGTCGAAGGAGTATCGGCAGCTGGCAGACACTCAGCTTGACCCGTTCACATCATCCCTCTAACTCATTCCCCCATTTCCCACCACTTCCCCATTGCCTCCTTCCCCCCCCCCCCCCCCCTCGCTTGCAGTCTGTTCCCCGACCTACGTATGTCGAAGGAGTATCGGCAGCTGGCAGACACTCAGATGAACCGCTTCCTAGACGTGCTGCTGAAAGATGTGAGCGGTTGGGGTGGGTTTGGGAGGGGTGGGGTGGGGTGTGGGAGAGTTTGGGAGGGTGAAGTGGGATGTGAAGAGGTGGGGTGGGGATGGCAGCTCGCAGACACTCAGATGAGCCGCTTCCTGGATGTGCTGCTGAAAGATGTGAGCGGGATGGGTGGGGTGGGTTTCGGAGGAGTTTGGCAGGATGTGCAAGAGGTGGGGTGGGATATGAAGAGGTGGGAGGGTTTGGGGTGGCAGCTGGCAGACACTCAGATGAACCGCTTTCTAGACGCGCTGCTGAAAGATGTGAGCGGGATGGGAGTGGGTGGCAGTGGGTGGGATAAGAGAAACGGTTGGGATCGGTTGGAGGGCCGTTGAGTTGACTCAACTGGCAGACACGCAGATGAACCGCTTCCTAGACGTGCCTGCCAGCTGAGCGAGATGAATCGTGCTGCTGAATGATGTGAGCAGGATGGGAGTGGGAAGGGGGGTGGTTATGAGTGGTGTTGCAGGATGTGAACAGGGGTGGGTGGGATGTGAAGTGGTCGGTTGGGAGGAGTGCGGTGGGTTTGGAAGGAGTGCGGATGATATGAGAGGGATGGGAAAAGGAGGGTCGGGAGGGAGTGGGATGGGAGGGAGAGGGATGGAAGGGAAGGATGGGAGGGAGAAGGATGGGAGGGAGAGGGATGGGAGGAAGGGATGGGAGGATTAGGAGGGATGGGAGGATTTAGGATGGGAGGAATATGGATGGGAGGAATAGGGATGGGAGGAATTAGGATGGGAGGAATAGGGATGGGAGGAATTAGGATGGGAGGAATAGGGATGGGAGGAAATAAGATGGGGGGAATAGGGGTAGGAGGAATTGGGATGGGAGGAATAGGGATGGGAGGAATTAGGATGGGAGGAATTAGGATGGGGGGAATTAGGATGGGAGGAATAGGGATGGGAGGGATTAGGATGGGAGGAATAGGGATGAAAGGAATGAGGATGGGAGGAATAGGGATGGGAGGAATTAGGATGGGAGGAATTAGGATGGGAGGAATTAGGATGGGAGGAATAGGGATGGGAGGAATTAGGATGGGAGGAATAGGATAGGGTTGAGTTCTCTTTGCAATCTTGCAGGGCTGTTTGTGTTTTGAGTCGACTCAAAAGGGCGGTTTGTCGGGGCTGATACCACTCTCTCTCCCTCTCCCTAATGTCCTTTCCCTCTTCACCCCTTCGCCCCACATCCCCTCCCCATGCACAGATGATGGAGTAAATAGGTACACCCACCTCGGGCATATCTCCAACCTCTCGGTTACATCCCCCCCTGCAGCGTCATCAAATCTCTCTCTCCCCACATCCCCTCCCCGTGCACAGATGATGGGGTCAATAGGTGCACCCACCACGGGCATTCCTCCTGCCGAGTTCCAGAAAAGGTAGGATGAGAAGATGGGATGAATTGCGATGGGGTGGGATGAAGGTGGGATGGGTTCAGTGGGTTCATGCATAGTCTTTGTCAAAAAAAAAAAAAAAAAAAAACTTTCCATTTCTTTTTATCTCTCCCCTGCCAAGGTCGCAGATGAGAAAAACACCCCTTCTGCGCATGTTAACCCCTCTTTACCCTCCCTTCTCCCCCTTCTACACCCCCCAGACTGGATGCATTCAACGGGGCATTTGAGGAGCTCTGTTTCAACATGCGCCGATTCCACCCACGTGATCCACTCAGTTGCCGCATGCAACCTTGCTCACCCTCCGCCCCCAATTACTCCCTTCCCATCCATCCATCCATCCATCCATCCATCCATCCTCCAGACTGGATGCATTCAACGGGGCGTTTGAGGAGCTCTGTTTCAACATGCGCCGATTCCACGTGCACGACTCGGTGGCGCGCACTCAGATCCGCGGCCTGTGCCACGAGCGCATCCTCTCCTCCTACAAGGAGTTCCTCATGCCCTTCAGGTAACATGCCCTTCAGGTAACATGCCCTTCAGGTAACATGCCCTTCAGGTAACATGCCCTTCAGGTAACATGCCCTTCAGGTAACATGCCCTTCAGGTAACATGCCCTTCAGGTAACATGCCCTTCAGGTAACATGCCCTTCAGGTAACATGCCCTTCAGGTAACATGCCCTTCAGGTAACATGCCCTTCAGGTAACATGCCCTTCAGGTAACATGCCCTTCAGGTGACCCAATTCCCCTTCCAGGTAACCTGTCTGTGCTGTTTCCCTCCCCCCTTCAACCCTCCCCTCTCTCCTGTGTCACAAGCGCATCCTCTCCTCCTATAAAGAGTTTCTCATGCCCCTTCAGGTAACCTTCCCTTCAGGTGCGCCCCTCCCCCCTCCCCACACACCTCTCTTCCTCTCTTCCTCTCCCTCGCAACGTGTGTCACGAGCGCATCCTCTCCTCCTATAAGGACTTCCTCATGCCCTTCAGGTAACCCAATTCCCCTTTCAGGTAACCTGTCTGTGCTGTTTCAACACCTTCAACCCTCCCCTCCTTCAACCCTTCCCTCTCTGCTGTGTCACGAGCGCATCCTCTCCTCCTATCAGGACTTCCTCATGCCCTTCAGGTAAGCCCCCTTCAGGTAAGCCCCCTTCAGGTAAGCCCCCTTCAGGTAAGCCCTTCCCCCTTCAGGTAGCGTGTCTCTGTTGTTTCTTCCCTCCCTCCGCGGCGTGTGCCACGAGCGAATCCTCTCCACCTATAAGGACTTCCTCATGCCGTTCAGGTGCTCCTCCCCTCTCTTCCTCTCTTCCTCTCCCCTCTGCTGTGTCACGAGCGCATCCTCTCCTCCTACAAGGACTTCCTCATGCCCTTCAGCAGTTCCAAGAGAGTGATACGCTTGGTATCGTCCTTCCCCTGCATCTCCTGCTGCCAATCCCTTCATTCCAGGGAGGACCTAGTGGGTTTCCCAGAGTATCGCTGGTCTGTCAGCAGTGCCAAGCGAGTCATGCAGAATTTCTTCATATAGGCGCCTCTCTGCCAAGCGCAATATATGTCTACAAGCATACAATTATTTATGTTATGCATCATTTGCTTAGCTCTAGTTTCTGGTTGGTCTTATCCATTCCTATCAACCGAAGTTGCCCGTCAAATCTTTACCTACCGGTACCGTATGTTCGACTGGTTTAGCAGCCACTGTAATCAGTTGTAGATTTGCAAATGCAGGAACAGCGTAGCATGTTCAAGGATCACTGGCCATTCAAAATATTGTTGGTGCTGTACTGTAGCTCTGCATTAATGGCCTTCAAGTTTAGCTCCTTTTTGGTGTGTGGGAAGGTCAGTTGCTCCAGATACACATTTAGTATGAATAGCCTTCTGCTACTCCGACTACAGTAAGTTTCATTCGCGACACTAAAAAACGGTGCATTTACTATACTTCGCGATACAAGTTCGCTCGACTCGTTATACGGACAATGATTGCAACGCTAATTCGCCGTGCCAGTTCAATACATAAACGTTCAGTTTGCGTTTTGCTACAAAGTTGCCCCTCGTGCGATGAGTCAATTCGTTCGAAGGGTCACCCCTGCTGGTCGCTCACACGTGGAGGGTGCAGGCGGATGGTCAGACGTCTCGCGCTCCGCGTTTAATGCCTTCCAGCATGCGCCGCGCTTGTTTTCGGATGGCGGGAGCCGTTTTTCGGCCCGCAGCGTCCGCTTCGGCGTCGTTTCCAGCCTGCCGTAGCGACATTCCTAGAGTGTCGGCTGCTAGAGAATCGGCTGTTTGCTTGCATTTCATCCATGAGCAGCAGTACCAGCAACAACAACCGATACAGGCCGGATTCGGTTTCGCAAGCGCAATATCTCAAACGAAACAACGTATGTCGATTTCATTTGATAGAAGTGTTGTTTTGAGTCGTCTCAAACCAACTCTTTTATCAGAACGTATGTCGATTCGATCTGGCCGTCAGCTTTCGCGGCGTTCAATGGACGAAACAGTCGCGACTTTTGTGCCGACTCGAAACTCAATCGACAGCACCGCAGCGGATCGGATTCGCGTTCTGCCTTTTTCGGGTCCTGCATCGCTGCATAGCAGTGCCGAGTCCGGGCTTATAACGGGTACAGAAACTGAAATGCAGGTGGGAGGATCGGCAGGAAGGGAGGCCGGAGCGGAGGGAGGGAGGGAGAGGAGTCAAGGGTTGCGTGAAGGAAGAGAAGAACGAAAAGGAGCAGGAAAAGCAAAGGGATCAGGAGCAGGAGGAGGAGGAGGAGAAGGAGAAGACGTGGTGATTGCGATCGGGGGCAACATCGGGAATCGCGTGGCGAATTTCCACCGAGCTTTGCAGATGTTGCGAGAGGTGCGTTGTGGTTGGGAGGGGTGCAGAGCAACTGCACTTGTGATAAGCAGAGGACAGGATGTGGTGATTGCGATCGGGGGGAGTTTGGGGAATCGCGTGGCGAATTTTCACCGCACGCTGACATTGTTGCGAGAGGTGCGTTGTGGTTGGGAGGGGTTCGTCAGGGTTTAGAGGGGTGCAGAGCACTGCACTTATGTGTGTGAGAGGGAGGGGACAGGATGTGGTGATTTCGATCGTCGAAAACATGGGGAATCGCGTGGCGAATTTTCACCGCGTGCTGCAGATGGTGCGTTGCGGATGGCAGGGTGAATGGTATGGTATCGTGTCAGGGGTGCGAGGTGCATGCAAATGCATTGTCCTGTGAGGTTGGATTGTGTACTGATGTATTGTGAGGGGTGTAACCCAGTTTCCTCCCCTTTCCTGCTACCCTCCCTTCCCTTTCTCTCCTCCCTTTTTTCTCTTCGTTTGCTGCAGGCAGGGGTGCGGTTTTACAAACACCGCTGTTTGTGCGAGACACTGCAGGCAGTCATGCCTGCACCACACAGTTCCCTCCCCTTTTCTCCTCTCCCCTCGCCCCCTTCTCTTTCCCCCCCTTCAATCATTGCAGGCAGGGTGCAGGTCTACAAGCACGGCTGTCTGTACGAGTCTGCTCCTGCCTATGTCACGGACCAGCCTTTTTTCCTCAACACGGCCATCCAGGTAAGTGAACGTGTGTGCCCTCCATGATAACAGCCGCGCGATAGGGAATCTGCCCCGCCCCTCCCTGCCTATGTCATAGCCACCCACCAGTCCCTCTTCCTCAACTCCGCCATCCAGGCAAGTGAACACGTTCCCTCACTCCCCACTTTTTTCCCCTCTTTCAACAGTTAAGTATCAGGGAGAGTGAGTGTGCTTCATTTCTGTTCCATCTATGCCTATGCCATCACCAGCCATTTATCTCCAGCTACACATGAACTGGCGGTGGCATATGATCGACTCAGAAGTCACAGGGAGACTGCATGTGCCCCATTACTGTTCCACCTTTGCCTATGCCACAGGCCAGCCCTCTTTCCTCAACTATTTCGAGGAAAGAAGACTTATCACGTCCTGGTTTTCTACCTTTTTTCCCAGCCCTACAATGCAACCCACCCACTTCACTTAGCTGAAATTCCTATGAAGACCCATGGCTTGCTGCTGCGGTTCGGAACCGTTTCAACTCTGCGGTGGATGCCTATGCCACAGGCCAGCCTTCTTTCCTCAACCTGCTCACTACCCAGCGCTTCACACCCTGGTGACTTACCTCCCTAATCCACTGCAGGCACGCACAACACTCAACCCCCATGCGCTCCTCTCTCTCTCTCTCCTCTCTCTCCTCAACTCAATCAAGGAACCTCAACCCGCTCACTGCCCAGCGCTTCACCCGTCACTTCCAATTCACATCACCCTCCCCCCCTTTGCAGGCTCGCACAACCCTTCCTCCCCACGCGCTGCTCTCTCTCCTCAAGTCAATCGAGTCAACCCTCGGGAGGGACCTCAACCCACTCGCCAACCTACCTTCACCCTTGTAACTGACTTAATTCCCTCTCCTTCCCTCTCCTTCCCTCTCCTTCTCTCCTCCAAACCAGGCCCGCACGACCCTACCCCCCCACGCGCTGCTCTCTCTGCTCAAGTCAATCGAGTCAACCCTCGGGAGGGACCTCAACCCTCTTACCGCCCAGCGCTTCGGCCCCCGGCCCTTAGATCTCGATTTGATCTGCTACGGATCTAGAACCATCCGGCCAGACGAAACCGCTCCTGCTGCTGCTGGTGCTGCCGGTTCTGCTGCCCCTGCTGCTCCTCCTCCTCCTCCTCCTGTTGCTGCTGGTTCCGCTTTTCCAGCTGCTCCTGCTCCCCCTGCGGCTCCTGCCCCCCCTGCGGCTCCTGCTGCTGCAGCTACCCGCACCCCGTTTGATCTCGAGGTTCCACACCCGCGCGTAGCAGAGAGGCTCTTTGTGCTCGCGCCAGTGATCGATCTATTGGGGTCGGCTCAAGCTGGGGGCGAAGAGGAGACACCCTCTTGGGTGTTTCACCAGGCGTTTGGGAAGGATAGAGTGCCGGGGTAAGTTTATTAATTGAGGCGCCTCCAAACCAGCAGAGACTGAGAGGCTCTTTGTGCTGGCCCCAGTGGCGGACCTGCTGGGGTCGGCTCAAGCTGGGGGCGAAGAGGAGACACCCTCTTGGGTGTTTCACCAGGCGTTTGGCAAGGATGGAGCGCCGGGGTAAGCGTGGTGCGGTGAGGTTTGTTCTGAGGCTCTTGCAGGCTTTTTGTGCTCGCCCCCGTGGCGGACCTGCTGGGCTCTGTTTGGGTGCTCTTCAAGGGCGCTCTTCAAGGGTGCTCTACAAGGCATTTAGGGAGGTTGGGGTGCCCCAAATGCCGCGTGGAACACCCAGGAGGCTGGGTAAGGTGGGTGAGTGTTGCGCAAGGCGTTTCCAAGGTGGGTTGAAATCTCCTCAATGGGTGTGGGATGAAAGACAAGTGTTGGGATTCTAGTGGGGAGACGACCAGGTGCATGCACGCGCCCTCTCTTGATGCTGCAGGGTGTTTTTGAGAATTCTCAAAAACACCCTGTGGGATGAAAGACAAGTGTTGGGATTTCAGTGGGGAGACGACCAGGTGCATGCACGCGCCCTTTCTTGTGAAAGCATGTTGTTGTGGGACGTCTCGAAAAAATATACTTTCTTGCATTGCCGAGGGGCAAGGGATGAGCAATGCAAGGCTTGGAGTGTAAGGGCTTAGTGGTGAGATGGCTTGGAGCAGCTACCTCCTTCTGAGGCACCTCAAAAGTCTTGTATTACCCGCAGTTTTTCTGGCTTGGAGCAGCTCCCTTCTTTCTCCTCTATGTTCCTTTACGTGTTCCTTAGTGTTTCGTACTATGTTCCATATTATGCTTCATAATGTGTTCGAAACACATTATGTTTTCTTACCCATCCCTCCATCCCTTCCGGTTCTTCGAATTCCAGCCTCTGGAAGAATCTGGGCGGAGAAGCAGCAGTGGGGGGAACGGACCTGAGGAGGGTAGTTCCCCTTTCCCAGCGCCTATTTAGAGGGCAGAGCGAGGGGAGGAAGGAAGAGGGGGAGGGTCCCTTGTGGGCGTGGGAGGGGCAGCAGCGGCCTCTGGTAATGGGTATTCTGAACATCACTCCTGATAGCTTTAGTGATGGGGGGAGATTCACCAGGGATGGGAATGACAGCGGCAGTGGCAGCGACGACAGAGGCAGCAGCAGCAGCAGCAGCAGCAGCGGCAGTAGCAGCAGCAGCAGCAGCAGCAGCAGCAGCAGCAGCAGCAGCAGCAGCAGCAGCAGCAGCAGCAGCAGCAGCAGCAGCAGCAGCAGCAGCAGCAGCAGCAGCAGCGGCAGTAGCAGCAGCAGCAGCGGCGGCGGCGGCAGTGGCAGCAGCAGCAAAAACAACAACAGCAGTGTATGTGTGAATGTCGAGGCAGCAGCAAGAGAAGCAGAGAGAATGGTGGCGGAAGGAGCAGATATTATTGACATTGGAGGGCAGTCCACCAGGCCTGGAGCCATACGCTTGTCGACCAATGAGGAGCTGACACGTGTCATCCCTGTCATCCAGGCCGTCCGATCGCGATCGCCAGATGTGATCATCTCGGTGGACACTTTCGATGCAGAGGTTGCCAGGTCAGCAGCCGTAGCTGGCGCTGACGTCATCAATGATGTGTCGGGCGGCACGATGGATCCGCAGATGCTGCGGACGGTCGCCGCCCTGAATCTCCCGTTTGTCCTGATGCACATGCGGGGAGATCCGACCACCATGCAGTCTTCTGAAAACACGACGTACAAAGATCTTATTGCTGACGTGGCATCTGAGCTGGCATGCCAGGTGGCCGTTGCTGAGAGGGCTGGGATTCCCTTGTGGAATATTATTCTGGACCCAGGCATTGGGTTTGCCAAAACAGGGCAGCAGAGTCTGGAGCTAATCAGGAACCTCGGGCAGCTGAGAAAAGAATTGGGCAGGTGCAGGAAAGGTTTGGAGCATGTCCCGATGCTTCTCGGCCCTTCAAGAAAAGGGTTTTTGGGCAGGCTGACCGGCCGGGCAGCTGGAAAGGATCGCGACTGGGCGACATGCGGAGCTGTGGCAGCTTGTGTTGCTGGAGGGGCGGATGTTATAAGAGTGCATAGCGTTGCTGCTAGCCGAGATTCTTCTATTGTGGCAGCCGCTATTTTTAGGAACCCACTGTTTAGTTGTTGAGTCTGACTCCAAAGATAGTTTGTGTTGCTGGAGTGGTGGATCTTATAGTAATTTAAGAGAACATAATGTTGCTGATGGCGAAAATGCTTCTATTGCGGCAACTGTTATTTTCAGAAAGGTGGGGTTTCATGCTATGAGCAGCTAGGGTTGCATTGCGTTGTGGTGTTGTCTTCTCCCCTTGGAATTAGCCATTAGGGTGAGCATGAACAGAGAGTAAAAAAATCTTGCCAATAAGGGTACGGGGTCTGCAATCATCGAGAACAAGGCACAGTCGCCTTCGATGACGACATATTTGAATGAACGCGTTCGTTTCTTGTACGTCCAACACTCTATCACTCCATCTCGACCGTTGATGCGCATTATTGCACCGCAACCTGCCCAAGTGGAGGGTCGCTACGATAGGGAAACACAAACAGTGGACTCCTATCGCGGGTCACAGTCACAATTAAGCCCGTTTTATCGCGTTAGGTCACAGGGCTATCACAAACAGTCACAGTACAGTAGATTCCTATCGCGGGTGATCACAGTGCTATCACAAATGGTCACACCTCGCCTCTAAAAGCTATCACGTTTGGTCACTCGATGAAACGATAATGATTAATCTGAAACCACAGAAGAAACTGTAGAGATTTTGGGAAATTCCAATATTGATTGCTTGTTACCTCGCGCATGATTTTAGCCTGACATTTAGGAGAATGAAGACAAATAAACCCCTATAGGAGGCACGTCATTCGGGAGGCATCAACCCTAAACACCATGCGACCAGGTGTTTAGGGTTGATGCATCCCGAATAAAATCCCGTCCGAATGGGTTTTAGTTTTTTTTGTATTGGGAACAGAAATTACCCTTCGAGTTTTACCCGTCTAAAAGTGATATTCTTAGGAACACTATGCATAATTCGAACAGTGGATAATCAAATAGTAACAAGAATTTGCAGGTGTTTTTTTCACGAGTTACCGAGAGTTGTCGCGAAATTATCTCGTAATACTAGAGACAAAACGGCGCGCGCGAGAGAACTTTCCTTGAATCCCTACAGTAAGAATCGTAATTTCAACTTTTTAGGGGTCGTTTCAACGAGTGACCAAACGTGATAACCCCGTGGGGCGAGGTGTGACCAAGCGTGATAGCGCTGTGATCACGCGCGATAGCAATGTACGGTACTGTGACCGTTTGTGATAACCCTGTAATCTTTTTCGATAAAACGGGCTTAAATGTGACTGCGCGTATAATTTCCCAAGCTTGAATGGGAGTCCAGAAGCTGCCAAAACCAAACGCGGATTGCACCTTGCAACTCGGGGATGTTTCAAAACCATAATAGACACAACTAGGCGATTTGCTGGAACGCCATTGGCTGGAAGCGAGGAACGCGTTCACCCCGATTCATATCTCGCAAGACTACACCTCCAATAAGCAATGTCCAGATTCTCAAACACACGCCTGTCACGCTTCTAACCTCCTCCGAACCAGACCAAACCTTCTCCAAACCAGACCGAACCCATTCGTGCTCCATCGTCAAAACCTAGGATCTCCTCTCTCCGTACGCTACATACGCCTCCCTCGATTATTCCCACCTCCCCTCTGATTTATTGCGCGCTCCTAATCACGCAGAGGTGGGGATCCGACACTTGCGGCGCATGTGGGCTATGTAGCCCCCCTCGACGAAGTCGCCAATTGTAAGAATATACCATCTTTCCGGTTTCAGTCCAACGCATCCAGTGATTCCACCTCCGAAACGCTCTCGACTTCGAACTCGTTGAAGATTTTTTTTCACAAGTCACGGTGACAGTTGCCGCAAGAATCATCACAGCCACATCGCCCCAGTGACAGACAACATCTACATCCAGAAGGGCTTGGTCTATTCGACAGGCCGTTTTTTTCAACTCTCCAAACTGTCCGACGGTTTATTGCGTGAGTCGCGCACGCATGATGGATCCGCGGTCCGACGGCAACTCACTGCCGCTCTTCACGTCGTTCTTCGCCGACAAGAGCCGCCTCGAGCTTGCCGCGCCCCGGCAAAGGCTCGTCAAGACGCCAAACGACGGCGGAAAAACGAGCCGTCGTGTCATAGACTCTTCTACGCCGCAGCAATCGATCTGCCGAGCGTCGATCTGCCGAGCGTCGATCTGCCAGACGTCAGTCGCCGCAGGGTTTTCCTCGTCGCAGCGACTTTCGCAACAACACCCTGTCGTCAATGTGTCACATCAAACACGGCCACCCCATGATTTCTTCCCCCCTCGAGCATTTTCGCGAACAAAAGAGGGACCTGTGGACGTCGACGGCCGGGGCGGCGGGGGCGGCGGGGGCGGCGGCGGCGAGCGTCCGGATTGCTTTGATTTGTCGAGCAACGACAACGACGTCGACCGTCGCATGAACGAGAACGATGACGAAGAAGAAGACGACGGCGATGGCGATGGCGATGGCGACGACCGCGGCGACGACGACGACGGCGACGGCGACGACTACGGCCATCCTAACGACGTCGCATGCGAGGCTCCGCACGCGATACGCGCTTCGGAGAAGAACCACTCATCCGAAGGCACTTCTCGCGGCTCTCGCGGCTCTCGCGGCTCTCGCGGCTCTTGCAACTATCGCGGCGAACCTCACACATCTCGCAACCCTCACGGCGGCGACTCGCCGATTTCTGGATACGGCGTGAAGCTAACCTTGCATTCGATGCTTCCTTCATATTCCTTTCCCGCTCGTCCCGGGCAATCGAGCAACGGCGATACCAATGCGGCAAGAGCAACAGCCGCAGTGGGAGATACTGGCATTACCGGCGCCGTGGTTGCCTCTATGGCAATCAATAGCGAGAACGGGACCACGCGGGGATTTTCGAAGCCCGTGGTCCCGGCGGCGGCACTTTTCTCGGCGCAACCAGCGCCGCTGCTGCGGCGCGTTAGCCACGAAATCGACGACGAGGAGGAGGAAGAGGGAGAGGGAGGGGACGACGAAGAAACTGACGAAGCTGAGGAAGCGGCTCGTGACTCGCCGCCCATCTACTACTCTGCGTGTCACGAGAAAGCGGCGGATTCCCCTTTTCCGTTCCCCTCCCCCTCTCCGTCCGCCGCTTCTGCGCAACGGTCCCCCGCAACTCCTAAGCCCCCCAAGTCCAAGCGGAAGTCCAAGCTGCGCCTATCGCCCGCGCAGATCGAAGTGCTCGAGTCGCATTTTACGGACATCGAGCGCGAAATTAAACTCGAGACGCGGCTAAAGCTGGCGAGTCAGCTCCGATTAAAGCCACGTCAGGTCGCGGTATGGTTCCAGAACCGACGCGTGAAACACGCTACGCTGGCGAGGGAAGGGGAGCTAACGCGGCTGCGCGGGGAGTTGGCGCAAGCGCACGCGGAGCTGGCGGAACTGCGGAAAGAAAATGAGCGGGCGAAGCGCGAGATGGGGGATTTGGCGGAGGAGCACGCGGAGCTAAAATCGAAATACGACGCGCTGCTGCCGCGTTCGTCGAAAAGAAAGACGCACGAAAACGAATCGGTAAGTGCCGTTTGCAGCGCTTCGAATCGCAGGTTAGCGCTGCGGAAATTCCATGATTGTACGTAAGTTCTCCTCCCAAAACCCAGAAATCTCGCACTCATCTGATCGGGGTTTATTCTAAACCTGCCTTTCCGCTTTCATCGCTTCCCCCCCACTTTCCCCCGATCAGATGAGTGCGCCTCCGCAAAAACGCGTGAAGGAGGAGATTTTCGATGATCCTTGCGCGTCCGCAGGCTGCGCCGAACATTCTGACGCGCACCAATGCAGGGAGCGCATCTCCGACTCAAACGGCTCTGATAAGATCAAGACAGAGGCCTGCAATACAGATGAAGTTCTTATGAAGACATTCAGCAACGACGCTCCAGGTTGTACAGTACAAGAGGCGAGCAGGAAACACGACAAAGAAAGCAGAAAGCTTCCAGTTACCATGTTACCAGTCCAAGAAACCAGCACGTCGAAATCTGCTACAGTCACATTATATGCAAGCACATCCAACGAGAGGCATCAAAGCCAGGTTCGGCCTTTACGGAGACAAGGAGCAACCAAGCCTACTGAAGCCCCCACCCTTTGTTCGACCCTCACTCCAACATCTGCCTCCCCTCGCTCCCCACATTCCCCCCGTGCAACCTTGTGCCCTCTCTCCCCTCCCTCATCTCCAACCGGTAACCAACCCTCCTCTCACTCCCAGCCGACCTCTCTCGTTACCGCGTATCACTCCCGTTCCTCCTCTTTCTCGCTCCCCGAGCCCTGCATGAACCTTCCCCAGTTGTCACCTCCCCCAGACGCCCCTGCCTCCCCCACAACTCCCACTTCCGCAGCCACTACACCTGCTGCACCTGCTGCAGCTGCTACAATTGCTACAGCTGCTAAAGCTGCCGCTGCTACAGCTGCTGCTTCTAAAGCCGCTGCTTCTACTACAGCTGCGGCTGCTACAGCTGCCGCCTCTACTACAGCTGCTGCTGCTACAGCTGCTGCTGCTGAGCCCAGTCCACTCCGTTTGGTTCCAAGATGCAACCTGCCCAGTGCTGTGTTCCGTGCTGCGCGTGTCATGGGGCGTATTCGCAGTAACCCCACTTCTCTAGGTGTATTTCCCGCAATGCCCAGGGCAGTACCTCCCAAAAGCCTGGCAGCCCGGATCGCAATAGCGTCAGCAGGGGCAGATGCAGCAGCAGCAAGAGCATCAACAGGGGTAGATGCAGCAGCAGCAGCAGCAGCAGCTACAGAAAAAGCATCAGCAAACACAGCTTCATCAACAAGAGCATCAGCAGAGGCAGCTGCAGCAGCAGCAAGAGCAGGGGAAGCAGAGGCAAGGGCAACAGCAGCAAGAGCATCATCAGAGGCAGCTGCAGCGACAGCAAGAGCAGGGAGAGCAAGGGCAACAGCAGCAGCAGCAAGAGCAGGGAGGTTCCAGAGAGCAAGAGAAGCGGGGGGGTCGGGAGAAGCAGGAGGTGGAGTGTGGGCAGAGGGTGCAGCGGGGGCAGGGAGAGCAGGGACAGCTGTAGCAGCAGCAAAATTGAAGAGGTTGGGGGGAGCAGCGGAAGCGTGGAAAAGAGAGGTTGCACAAGGTGCAGGAGCAACAGCAGCAAGAGCAGGAGGAGGGAATTTAGGGTTTAGGGAGTTGTACAGGGGTTTAGGGAATTTAGGGTTTAGGGAGGGTTTCGGGTTTTTACAACAGGAGTTGTAAAACAGAGTTGCGCAGAAGAACGAATAACGAGACTCTGACTCAATGAACTGACGATACAATGAAAGAGACGCGATAATATAGCGGGTCAACCTAGCTAGGCAGGAACCTTGGGAACATGAGGTTGGGTGGGTGCAGGTTTGGCAAAAGGAAAGCCGAAGGCGACGCGAGGTTGCTTCGACAGCAAGCAAACCGGCCGAACGTGCACTTCCGAACGTCGGGGTTGTACGCGGTTGAGTAAACCCCAGTAAGGGAAAAGGGTCTGCCCTTACATTCTCTCACTACGGGTATGTTGCAGCATCAGTCACTGCTACGGTACTTACGGTAGCAGTCACCCAGTTGCGATGTTCGATATTGCATGCTCATTGCTTACACCTTTTCACTACAATTGTGCTACCGTATTTACTCATCATGGTACAGTATGAGATGATGTGGGAGATCCTACAAGATTCGGGTCACAACAATTTGAGTGCCACATCAGCACCCTTTATTCTCTGCTGGAGTGTGCAGCCTAGTACAGTAATAGGAGAAACAATAATAATGTATCCCTTGGTAGAAGGAGCTTGGATCAGCATTACTTGGTAACATCTTCGATAGTGAAAAGTAACACTGCAATCTTGTACGAGAGGAAGCCTATAAAGAGGGGCGCAAACTGTTTCCATAGGAAACAAAGGAAAGGGAGGATATAACAGATGACCGGGCAAGGGAAAGGGGGAAACGGAGAGCAGAAGGAAGTGAAAGAGTGAGAAGGGATTAAGGTATAAAAGGATGAGAACTGCATGGCATATGAAGATTACACCAAGTACGAGTTGACGTTTGAGTCGACTCGAAAGTCATTAAGGTATAAAAGCAGTAGGAACTGCATGGCATATGAAGACTGCACCAAGAACGTGCACTACAGGAAAGGTGAGAGCAGAAGGGGAGCAGAGGGAACTGAGACGATTTCTGAGGCGCTTTTTGAGGCGCCTAAAAAATATCAAAGCAGTAAGAACTACATGGCATATGAAGACTGCACCAAGAACGTGCACCACGGGAAAGATGAGAGCAGAAGGCGAGCAGAGGGAACTGAGACGATTTCTGAGGCGCTTTTTGAGGCGCCTAAAAAATATAAAAGCAGTAAAAACTGCATGGCATACAAAAACTGCACCAAGAACGTGCACTACAGGAAAGGTGAGGGCAGAAGGGGAGCAGAGGGCGATCAGAAGGCGAGCAGAGGGCGAGCAGGGGACGAGCAGAGGACGAGCAGAGGGCGAGCAGAGGACGAGCAGAGGGCGAGCAGGGGACGAGCAGAGGGCGAGCAGAGGGCGAGCAGAGGACGAGCAGAGGGCGAGCAGAAGACTAGCAGACGGCGAGCAGAGGACTAGCAGAGGGCAAGCAGAGGACTAGCAGAGGGCAAGCAGAGGACTAGCAGAGGGCAAGCAGAGGACTAGCAGAGGGCAAGCAGAGGGCGAGCAGAGGGCGAGCAGAGGGCGAGCGGAGGGCGAGTTTTGCTCCCAACATTCAGCAGTCACCACCACTCTCCTTCAAACCTTCTCACTCCTCACGTGAAGTGAGGGTGTTTTTGAGACGTCTCAAAAACACCCTCACTTCACGTAGTTTTGCCCCCTACATTCAGCAGTCACCAGCACTCTCCTTCAAACCTTGTCACTCCTCACCTCGATGTGCAAGCTGTTGGGATCACTGCCGCTGAACTGCACGGAGAAGGCCCAGAGCAGCACGAGGGCAGCAGGCACGAGCAGGCACTAGCAGGCGGCAGGAGGAGGGTGCATGCATCTCTCAGCACCACTTACCACCTCTCACCACCATCCTACAAACCTCCTCACCTCGATGTGCAAGCTGTTGGGGTCGCTGCCGCTGAATTGCACGGAGAAGGCCCAGAGCAGCACGAGGGCAGCAGGCACGGCCAGACGGCGCGAGGAGAGGGCGAGCTGAGCGCCCTGCAGGAGCTTCTGGGGCGAGTCGACCGTTGCTAGGCTGTCAACCAGGCCCTTCCTGGAATGGGTGGGTAGAGAGTGGTTAGAGGAGGGGAGGGATGGGTATCGTTAGGGGATGGGTAACAGGGACACAGAGACTGCAGGAGGAGAGGGCGAGCTGTGCTCCCTGCAGCAGCTTCTGGGGTGAATCGACTGTTGCTAGGCTGTCAACCAGGCCTCCTGGGAGAGGGGGGTTGGGATGGGGTGTTGGCATGAGGTGGGTAGAGGGTGGATAAGGCATGAGCAGGCGGCACGAGGAGAGGGCGAGCTGTGCCCCCTGCAGCAGCTTCTGGGGTGAATCGACTGTTGCTAGGCTGTCAACCAGGCCCTTCCTGCCAAGGGGGAGGGTGGTAAGGTGGCAGGTTAGGGGAACAACAACGGTGGAAGGAGAGGGCGAGCTGTGCTCCTTGCAGCAGCTTCTGGGGTGAATCGACTGTTGCTAGGCTGTCAACCAGGCCCTTCCTGGGGTTGGTTTTAGAGGAGGGGGGGGGTTGGGTAGAGGGGTGGGTAAGGGGGCAGGTAAGGGGAGCAAGGACATTGAGAGGAGAGGGCGAGCTGAGACCCCTGCACTAGCTTCTGGGGCGAGTCGACTGTTGCTAGGCTGTCAATCAGGCCTTTCCTGGGAGCTGCGGGGGTTGGGATGGGATGGGGTGTTGGTATGAGGTGGGTAGATAGAGGGTGGAGAAGGCACGAGCAGGCGGCGGCGCGAGGAGAGGGCGAGCAGAGCCCCCTGCAGGAGCTTCTGGGGCTAATCGACTGTTGCTAAGCTGTCAACAAGCCCCTTCCTGTGAGGGGAGGGGTGGGTAGGGGTTGGGTAAGGTGGCACCGTGGCAGGTTAGGGGAACACAGAGACATTGAGATGGCGAGAGGGCGTTGAATGCCCCTGCAGAAGATTCTGAGAAGAGTGTGCTGATGCCAGGCTGTCAGCGTGAGCTAGCTGGATGAGAAGTGGTGACGAGGGTGACGAGAGGGGTTTGGATGGGTGTAGAGAGTTTCATGTGGGTTTGGCTGCATAGTACATTTGAAACGTGCTCAATTTTCTGTTTCACCCACTCTCACCTCAACTCACACCGTCTCACCCCTCCTCACCCCTTCTCACCCCTTGTCATCTTGCCTCACCTCTTGGGCTTGTTCCGGTCGATGAGGAAGGCGGGAGGCAGGTCCTCGGGGGCAATGGTGTCAGTGTCGTTGAAAAGAAGCAGCAGGTAGAGGCAGCTGGGTGGGGGAGAAGGGTGAAGGGAAAAGGGTGAAGAGAGAAAGGGGGAAGAAGGGCGCTAGAGGTGAGGAAGGAAGGCTGGAGGCAGGTCCTCGGGGGCAATGGTGTCAGTGTCGTTGAAAAGAAGCAGCAGGTAGAGGCAGCTGGGTGGGGGAGAAGGGTGAAGGGAAAAGGGTGAAGAGAGAAAGGGGGAAGAAGGGCGCTAGAGGTGAGGAAGGAAGGCTGGAGGCAGGTCCTCGGGGGCAATGGTGTCAGTGTCGTTGAACAGCAGTAGCAGGTAGAGGCAGCTGGGGGTGTGGGGAAGAAGGGCGAAAGAGTAAGGTCAGGGTGAATGGAGAGAGGAGCAGATGAGAAAAGCGGGAGGGAGGCCCTCCAGGGTGATGGTGTCAGTGTCGTTGAATAGCAGCAGCAGGTAGAGGCAGCTGGATGTTGGGAGGGAGGTTGTGGGGGAGAAGGGTGACAGGGGAAAATGGGGAGAAGGGAGACAGGAGGTGAGGAGGAAAGCTGGAGGCAGGTCCTCTGGGGCAACGGTGTCAGTGTCGTTGAGTAGCAGCAGCAGGTAGAGGCAGCTGGATGTGGGGAGGGAGCAGGGAGATGAGGAGATGGGGAGAAGGGAGATGAGGAGACGGGGAGAAGGGAGATGGAGAGATGGGGAGAAAGGAGAAGGGAGAAGGAAGAAGGGGGGAAAAGGGCGACAGGGGGTGAGGAAGACCGGAGGCAGGTCCTCTGGAGTGATGGTGTCAGTGCCTTAGAAGAGAAGCAGCAGGTAGAGGCAGCTGGATGGGGGAGGTTGTGCGGGGGAGAAGGATGATAGGGGAGGAAGCACAGAGGGTTTCAGAGGCAGGTCCTCAGGGCAGGGGTGATAGTGTCAGTGTTGTTGTTGAAGGGGCTGTCAATAGGTAGAGGCAGCTGGGTGTGGGGGGGGAAAGGGTGAAAGAGAGGGAATGAGGAGAAGGGGGATAGGGTTGAGAAAGGCTGCAGGCAGGCAGGCCCTCAAGAGAGAAAAGGTGTCAGTGTCATTGCAGAGCGGCAGCAGGTCGTTTTTGAGAATTCTCACAAACACCCTGCAGCATCAGGCCCTCAAGAGAAAAAAGGTGTCAGTGTCATTGCAGAGCGGCAGCAGGTAGAGGCAGCTGGGTGTGGGGGGGGGAAAGGGTGAAAGAGAGGGAATGAGGAGAAGGGGAATAGGGTTGAGAAAGGCTGCAGGCACGCAGGTCCTCAAGAGTGTAAAGGTGCCAGTGTCATTGCAGAACGGCAGCAGGTAGAGGTAGCTGGTTGTGGGAGATGGGGAGAAGGGGAGGGGCAGAGGGGTTTGAGAGCCAAGGCAGATGAGAGGGGTGTCTGGGGGTAGCAGGCTGAGGGTGAGGGGTGTCACCCCCAGCTGACCTTGAAGAGCAGTAACAGATAGAGGCAGCTGGGGTTGGGGAGACGCGAGATAGGGGGAGATGGGGAAAAGGAAAACTGCGGAAGGGGAATGGAGAGAAGGGCGGTAGAGGGGAAAGGGGAGAAGGGTGGAAGGTTGGTAGGGTGCAATGGGGTGAAGGGCGGTAGGGGGCAAGGGGGAGGAAACAATTATGGGCGATGGGAGAAGGACGATAGGACAAAATGGGCACCCAAAACCCTCAAGTGACACAAAACCCTGAAAGAACACCAAAAACACTCACGCAGCACCCAACACCCTCAAGCTACACCCAAATCTCAAAGCTACATTCAATACCCTGAAGCGACACCCTAAACCCTCAATCGGCAATTGAGACCTCAAGCAATAACCAACAGGCTAGGTTCAGCCAGTAGGGACGCTGAGACTCTCACCTCTCCCCTCCCGCACCCCTTTCCCTCCCCTCACACCCTCCCCTCCCCTTCCTCCCCCAGCATCACTACCCAGTCGAAAATACCTGGCAGCGCTTCCGATGCCATAGCTGATGGCAGTCTGTAGTATGGACGGGACGAGGCGCATGGGAAGAACAAGGGAGGGATGGGGTTTTTTTCGTTTTCTTGGGGGGGTTGGCTTTTTTTTTTTTTTTGTGGGGGGGGGAGAGGGAGGGGGGGGGGGGGGGGGGGGGGTAATTGAAACGTTTTTGTTTTGAGGCGTTTCAGAACCTGGTCGAGCCCGGTCTCTGTACTTAATAAGCCAAACTACTCCGTGAAACTCGCACTCACACTCACGGAGGTCGACCACCCACACTCGTTTTCCTTTCATCCCCTGTTTTCACACACACACCCACTCGTACTCGCACAACCTCCCAAACAAGCACTCGCCAAATACCCCCCAAACACACTTGCCAACACACACAGCAAGCACACACTCTCACAGAAACCCTCGCACTTTCCCACCTGAATGGAGATTCCGAGGAAGCAGTAGAGCGTGCCTGCAGCCCCCACTCCTATAGCCGTCTGCGACAACTGCTTCTTCAGCTGGTACAGGAAAAAACGGGCGGATGAATTGGAAAGTGGGGAAACTAAGGAGGTTGGGGAGGCAGAGATGAAAGAGAATAGCGACTCGCGCTTTCAAGGGTGACTCGAAGACTTTGAAATGGATTTGGCTCACGCTTTTAAGGGTGGGGTTGATTATTTGGAACAAACATGGCTCAGGCTTCCAAGAGTGACTCACATCGTCGTACTCTCGCATGGTTTGTTGTTGCAGGTGGTTTTTGGTGTTTGTTTTTAAGAAATCTAAAATGCAACCGAAAATGGCTCAGGCTTCCAAGAGTGACTCACATCGCCGTACTCTCGCATGGTCTGTTGTCGGCTCTCCTCCCTCCGTTGCATCATCTCCTGCAACGGTCGGGAGTGGTTGGGAGTGGTGGCTTTGAGAATGAGCATATGTCTGAGACTATTTGTTATCAAACAGTGAGCGCGTCAGCAGTTGGATATTTTCAATCACTGAAACCTGCAGTATTTACGCCGGAAAAAAGAACATGGAAATGCCGCCTGCAGAGGCATCTAGTTCAGTCAGGATGGACCTGCTGCTCGCACCTGGTATCGTCGGTTCGGATCCGAAGCTGCGAGCCTGGCTTGTGCCCGAGTCTCCGTCTCAGCCTCGAACGGCCGAGCCACTACGGACTCCCCACCTTCGTTTGAATCGCCCAGTTGGCATGTGACTACAGAAAGGCGTGACAAAGGCGAGGGCCGTCTGCGTGACTGAAAAGAGGGGAGCATTGAAACTTAATTTATTGAAGAATAGCAAGGGAGGTTGTTCTTACTAACAAGCACCCCCAAAACGCGGTCGAGGTCCGTCCAATGAATATTTTCCAAACAGGGGGAAGAAAACCGCTTGCGTAACTTCAGCTTCGTATCAGAAGGTGTGAATGGAAAGAAATGGGATGGATCGGAGGAACCGTATGTGACACTTACGCATTGTATCGATGGGCTGACGTTTAGCCGCAGTTGCAAGCCGGATGCTCTTAGCAATGCCATCCTTTGCTTAAGTTCTCAGCAGGAAAGAAATGGTGCGGGCCTGAAAGATTAGTATCTAACGCGTAGATGCTCTTTTATTTCCTGTGCTCTGTTCATTCACGAGCCTAATTCGATCAATCTCGCGTACACGTAAGGTGCGTTTTCTGATAAGTCTTGAAACTTTTCCACACCCACGAAGACGAAAGCAGTCTCTAAAATTCTGCTGGTTAGTGGTGGTGAGTGAAGTGACTGCTAGGCTATGTATCCCCTCGGAAACTCTGCCTAACCTGAGACCACAAATCAGTAGAGCTGAGTCTGTCTGGAGACTGTGTGGTGGTAACAGCTTGATACTAGTTTCACTCTCGGAATTTTGAGATCAGAATGTGCGCGGGCGTGTTTAGCGGTTATTTTTTTGCCTGTCGTACAGCCGAGCACATGGATTAGAGGTGTGCACAGAAGTTTGGAAGTGCTTTGTGTCGTATTCAAGAAGTTCAGTGCAGCTTTGTATCTCATGCTCTGTGCACATCGCAGCGTGTCTTTCTCTGCGCCATCTCGCGGCACTCTTTCTCGGAACACCTCCTGCTTGGGAAGATCTCCTTCGATGTCTTCGAGCTTCAAAAGTATCGAGATGACGTGGCAGCCGAGAGCCTTGCTGACACACCTTCCCGATAAGAAGTGTCGATATTTATTATTCGAACCGGTGCGATTCTTCGGAGACGGATAGGAAGCTCATATGCAATAATTCTACAAAAATATTTTATCCACAGGAAAATTTACCACAAATGCTAGAGAGGTCCTCAACATTTAATTCCACTGCATCACCTTGTTCTCCGTTTTGACGGTGGTCTTCTTGTGTTCCCTCTCGTTGTTGCGGCTGCTTTAGGAGGAAGGGCAGATGTTTGCGTCACAGGTAATCCCAGAGAGGCACTTCCAGGAGACGCATTCGATGACGGAGGCTTAAGAGTAGGGATCCCAAGAGCCTTCCGCACCCCAGGGCGCTTAAGACCTGAGAAAAGAGACAGAGAAAGAAAGAAATTGGATGTTAGTAGGGAAGTGAATGACAACAAGGTAATCAATTCACACCAAACAAGGACCACAAGGGAGCACCAAAAAAAAAAAAAAAAAACAGAGGCTATATTGCGAATGACGTAAGGTAAGGTGTATGAGGAATATCTGACTCAGCCAAATTATACAAGCACGATCATCACTACGCACGTACCAAGACCTTGGACAAGAGAAAAGACGTTGGTGGTGATCCAGTAGCAGAACACAGCCTACACAGCCTGCAGCAACACCTGGTGACAGTTGAGTCGACTCAAACGTCATCCCGTTTATCACTACACACGTACCTAGGCCCTGGACAAGAGAGAAGACGTTGGTGGTGATCCAGTAGCAGAACACAGCCTGCAGTAAAAAAAGAGGAAAACAAAAAAATAATAGAAAAGGCAGCTAAGAATAATCTAAGAAGAAGGAGAAAAAAACCAACGCACTGAAGAAAAAAGCACACTGCAAGTATACATATGAATACATTAGGTTTACTGACAATGAATGAGCACAGGAACACATGTGCATATCTAGCAAACATCACAATTGATGCTACCCTAGGGAACATGACAGTAAGCAGCACCATAGTCCCAGCCACTGGGTCACCTTGACTCATGTTCGAAGGGCTGCAGTAGTTGAATGGACGAAGCAGCACCATAGTCCCACCCACTCCTCTCATCAACCAGCTTTTGAGTCGACTCAAAGCAGACAGTCAGCAGCACCATAGTCCCAGCCAGCCACTCCTCTCATTAACCATCAGCACTGCTCTTCCTTTAACGCGGCTCAGAACAAGTTACCTTACAGAACGTGACAGCAAGTAACAACGTCACTGTACGTAGTGTGACATGAGCGGCATGGCAGTGTACATTACGTAGTGTCACACTGTACAACCTTAAGGAACGTGACAGCAAGTAACATGAGTGGCATGGCAGTGTACAACCTTAGGGAACGTGACAGTAAGAGGCACCATGGTTTACAGCCAATCCTTTCATAATAAACCACTTCAGTTGCGCTGCCTCAAAACAACTTGCTTTGGGGAATGTGACAGCAAGGAGCGTGACAGTGCGAGAGAAAGTTACCTTAGGGAAGGCGACAGTAAGCAGACATGCGTTACCTTAGGGAAGGTGACAGTAAGCAGACATGCGTAACCTTAGGGAAGGTGACAGTAAGCAGACATGCGTTACCTTAGGGAACGTGACAGTGAGCGGCACCATGGTCACAGCAAGCCCTCGCATGAACCACTTCATCTGCGCTGCATTGGGTGCTCCCTCCATGCCCTCTGCTGCGTTCAGCTGGAATACAAGAGAGGCATGCAAAGGATTAAACCGCACCGCACCTCACTTCACCTGTAAAGGATTGAAAAATAGAAATGCAGCTGAGAAGGGGGGAGGTGCAAGGGGTGCAAGGGACAGGAGCGAGGGTGCGAGGACAGGAGAAGAAGCAGGTAGGTGAGGTGTGAAGTGAGGTGAGGTGAGGTGAAGTGAGGTGGGGTGGGGTGAGGTGAGGTGAGGTGAGGTGAGGTGAGCTTTGCAGAAAACGACATACCTCCACAGCAGCCAGGATGCCAGCAGAGGACATGAGAGGCAGCAGATAGGTGGGATCGGGTGTACTGAGGTCGGTGAACCAGAAGGCTCCCCCTGTTGTGACATAGACCTCAGGTCTGAGAGCCTCATTTTCTCTAAGAACTGAGACTGGGACTCACCTCCACAGCAGCCAGGATGCCAGCAGAGGACATGAGAGGCAGCAGATAGGTGGGATCGGGTGTACTGAGGTCGGTGAACCAGAAAGCTCCCCCTGTTGCGAACGATGGCATGTGCTCCGCCATTCCTGTGATCTGCAACAGGAGGATAGGGAAAGGGGGAGGAGGATAGGGAAAGGGGGACGAGGATAGGAAAGGGGGAGGAGGATAGGGAAAGGGGGACGAGGATAGGAAAGGGGGAGGAGGATAGGGAAAGGGGGAGGAGGACAGGGAGAAGGGGGGTTGAGGAACGGTCTTAAGGAAGCATTCTCTGAGAAATCTCAAAGATTAGGACGAGTTAAGTCTGTTGGATCTGGGTCGAACCTATTTTTCTCTGCGGCAAAAGGACTAAAGGAAGTGTTTTCTGAGAAATTTCGAAGTGAAGCAGAGAAGGCCTGGCCTGAGACTGAACGACGAGTTTTGAGTCGACTCAAAATGAGTCGAGTTTTGAGTCGACTCAAAACTTGAAGCAGAGAAGGCTTGGCCTGAGACTGAATGACGAAGCGCTTGCATTGCAGGCGATCAGAAGAGAAGAGCTTATGCACGCAACCAGCGAAGTGCAGCACGTGCACAATAAGCGTACAACTTTTGAGTCGACTCAAGAGAAGAGCTTATGCAGGCAACCAGCGAAGTGTGAATCAGGGATGAGCAGCAGGTGCACGGTACGCGTACAGCAAGAAGAGAAAGGGGGAAGAGAAAGAGCAAGTGCAAGTGCAAAACACGTACAGCGAAATGACTTTTGAGTCGACTCAGCAAGTGCAGCAAGTGCACGGTACGCATACAGCAAGAAGAGAAAGGGGGAAGAGAAAGAGCAAGTGCAAGTGCGTTTTGAGTCAACTCAATAGTCACCTTGGTTTATTTTGGATCGACTTTGAAGTCACCTCGGTACAGCAAGAAGAGAAGGGGGGAAGAACAAGTGCAAGTGCAAGTGCAAAATACGTACAGCGAAATAGAAACCGATGAAGATGGGCGCTTGCAGGAAGATCCCGAGGAGAGGAGCAAAGGGCGTGGTGTTGTGTCTGGGGGGAGGGGGGAGGAACAGGGGGGAAAGGGGGGTGCAACAGGAGACAGGGAGAAGCCCAGGAAGGGAAGGAGAGTAAGAGCCGAGGAGCAATGGGCTTTTGAGGCGCCTCAAATGTCGTATTGTGTCTGGGAGGAGGGGAGGATAGATGTGTCGAAGGAGGGGAGAGGGGGAGGCAGGCAGGCCAGGGAGGCAAGGCAGGCCAGGGAGGGAAGGCGCAAGCGTCAATGAGGCTTGACGCGTCAAATCCATCACAGAAATGTGTGATTAGACGATTTTTCAGTCGACTCAAAAATCGGCTAATCACACACGGCAGCAGGCCAGCCAGGGAGGGAGGGAAGGCGCAAGCGTCAATGAGGCTTGACGCGTCAAATCCATCACAGAAATGTGTGATTAGACGATTTTTTAGTCGACTCAAAAATCGGCTAATCACACACGGCAGCAGGCCAGCCAGGGAGGGAGGGAAGGCGCAAGCGTCAATGAGGCTTGACGCGTCAAATCCATCACAGGAGAAGGGTTTCGGAGGTTTCAGGTTTCGGGGGTTTACAGTTTCAAGAGGTTCGGGTTTAAGGGTTTCGGGGTTTTGGAGGTTTAGGGAGGACTACTCAGATGGTAGGGATGGGAGGAAGGAGTACTCAGGTGGTAGGGATGGGAGGAAGGAGTACTCAGATGGTAGGGATGGGAGGAAAGGAGTACGCAGGTGCGGTGTGGCTATGGTCTGGTCAGGAATGACTTTTGAGTCGACTCAAAAGTCACCTCAGATGGTAGGGATGGGAGGAAGGAGTACGCAGGTGCGGTGTGGCTATGGTCTGGCCAGGAATGGGGAGAAGGGTATGGGTATGGGACACACAGCGCTTGTACACAGAGAAATATTTTGAGGCGCCTCAAAACGACTTTTAAGGCGCCTCAAAAACAGGGAGAAGGGTTTAGGGAATGGGACATACCGCCTTTCTATACAAAGAAATTTCAGAGGTTTTAAGGTAGTCATCAATATGAAGAAACAAAATCTTAAATGACAAACTCACAATCTGACGGGGAAAAGAGGAAAAGCACAAGCTCGAGTTCAAGCACAAGCACAGAGCAAAAGCACAAGCACAAGCTCGAGCACAGTGACTCGAGAGCACCTACTTCTTTAGCAGCGCTTGCATCTTGCCATTGTAGTGAGCCACTGCCTCCGTGTCGTAGCCCTGCGATGAATCATAAGGGGGGAGGAGGGGAGAGGGGGGGGGAGGGGAGAGGGAGGGGGAAGGGAGAGGGAGAGGGGAGGAGAAGGAAGGGAAGGACAGATCAGCGCTTGCAGCTTGCATCTTGCCATTGCAGTGAGCAACTGCCTCTGTGTCGTAGCCCTGTGATGCATGATTGAGGTGAGGAGGGGAGGAAGGGCGAAGGGGAGGGAAGGGAAGGACAGCTCAGCTCTTGCCGCTTGCATCTTGCCGTTGTAGTGAGCAACTGCCTCCGTGTCGTAGCCCTGCGATGAATCATAAGGGGGGAGGAGGGGAGAGGGGGGGGGAGGGGAGAGGGAGGGGGAAGGGAGAGGGAGAGGGGAGGAGAAGGAAGGGAAGGACAGATCAGCGCTTGCAGCTTGCATCTTGCCATTGCAGTGAGCAACTGCCTCTGTGTCGTAGCCCTGTGATGCATGATTGAGGTGAGGAGGGGAGGAAGGGCGAAGGGGAGGGAAGGGAAGGACAGCTCAGCTCTTGCCGCTTGCATCTTGCCGTTGTAGTGAGCAACTGCCTCTGTGTCGTAGCCCTGTGATGCATGATGAGGAGGGGGTTTGGCAGAAACACAGGTCGAGGTTTAATCTGTACGGTTTGAAGCATTATAAAGGGGGCCTGGGGTTGGGGAGCAACGCAACGAGTTGACTTTTGAATCGACTCAAAAGTCACCGGTTGAGGTTTCACACAGAAACGTTAGAGCTTTATAGAGGGGGGCCCTGGGGTTAGCGGGCAATGTAACTAACGCATTGCGGAGAAGGGGTGGGAGAGAAATGGGTAACAATAGAGGAGGGGGAGAGGAGGAGAGAGGAGAGAAGAGAGAGTAGGGAGGGGACAGGAGGAGAGAGGAAAAAAAGAGAGGAGAGAGGTGGGAGGAGAGAGGAGGAGAAGGGCAGAGCGACTCACAGCGGCCTTGACTTTGTTCAACAGTCGCTCCATCTCTGGCTTGATGAGCTGGTGGTGAGGGGTGGGGTGCGGTTGGGTTGGGTTTGGTTTTTGGTTGGGATTGGAGGGAGGCAGAAAGAGGTAGAGAGAAGGGGAGAGAGGGGGGAATGACAAACGAATGAAGGGCACGGTAAAACAGAAAAACAAAGAGGGGTAGATGCAAGAAAAAGGCACGGGGAGTCAAAAGGAGAACGTAAGGAAGGAGCAGCGAGTATGAGGCACATGATGTGAGATGATGCAAAAGCTGAGGATGATGCAAAGGCTGAGGACTTTTGATGACGAAGTATTGTATGTTGTGCTGCAGCTCGCAGCTGAACCCATTGTCGTCTTGACCGTTGATCTGACACTCACCGCCATCTTGACCGTTGATCTGACTTGGTAGACAAATGCAGGCAGCAGGATGAGCCTGATCCCCACCGTTGCTGCTGCTATGGAAAGCCACCTGTGATTATAACGAGAGGATCACAACACAATAACGGGGTGCTCGCCTGACTCCAGTGCATGAACAATGCTTTGGGCAAGACCGAATAAACACATGACACGTCACTCACTCACCAGGGCAGGCCTGCCACGTCATGCACTGCACCAATCAGCTGCTGCAACGCGGCAATGGGCGCCGAGCAGTGCGCCGCCGCCGCTGCCAGCTCAGACCCCACTGTCACCCCCAGGTCCGACGTGGCAGCACTGATGACGTCAGCGGCACCGTCGCCTAATACCGCGCCGCTGACATCAGCACCGGAGGGAAGCGGCACGTCAGACAAAACGGACTCGCTGGCTGCATTTTGGCTGCTGCTTTCGTCGCTAGTGCTAGAGCCGGAGGCGCCGCCGATTGCGGCGCCATTCGCGGAAGTAGCAGAGGAGTGAAACCCGGCGGCCGAGAAGGCGAAGCTTCCGGGCGGAAAGGCGGAAGTTGCGGAAGCGGAACGAAAGAAAGCGAGATGCGGCGGGGAAGAGGGGGAGGCGGCGGAACGGAAGGGGGGAAGAGGGCTGGCGGAAGAGGCGGAAAACGGGGGAGGCGCGGAAAAGCGGAACTGGGGAGCGAAGAATTCCGCCGTTGCTTCATTCCACGGGAAAGGACCCTCTGATGCGGAGCTGGTGCCGCAAGAAGCGGACGGGATTAGCGACGCGGTCCTATGCTGACGCGGATCTGCTGACGTGGCTGTGCTAGGCTCGTCACAAGACTCGCGATCAGAAGATTCGACTCGTGGGAAGAGATCGAATCTGATCGTGCCCAGCAGCCCAGCCTGATGCCGATGGTCCCATCTGGACGGTCCAGATCCACCGATCACCCCTGCTCCGCCATCACAGTCATTGATCCTAATGGTGGAGCAGCCACCGCGAAAGCCGGTGCTGCTAGCGCTGGTAGCGGCAGCACTGCTGCAAGCCGTGCTTTCCGCGCGAATCACGCAGTTCCAGACTCCGTTGGCGACACCGCTGTAATGGGTATCGCGGCGCGATCCACGGCGGCAGAGCCGCTGGAGGAGGTGGAACCGCGTCATAGGACGACGAGTCGGCGGAATGGGTTTGTGGATTCTTGTCGGCTTGCTTTGTGACAGGCTGACTCGCTAGAAGCAACCGGTCCGAACACAAAGGTTGCACAAGCATTGAGTGTAAGCAAGTTGTTTCTTAAAGTTACATGAAATATACTCCCTAAACACAATGACGCTTGTGGTGGTTGTAACACACAAAATAAGCGAGTGCAACTATGCGCATGGAAATGATTTCTTTCTATTGGCGCTTTCCATGGGAAGGAAGGAGCAGATCCGAGGCATCACACACAAAGCCAAGTTTGTACATTAATTCTTCGAGGCGGGGAGGATTGGTGAGGTAGAGGAAGCCAATCTGAGAAGGGCAAGGGAAAACAGAAAGCAAAAACACAAAACACAACAAAAGAAAGAAAGGGTGAACATTTACCTCGGCAAAAAAAACTCATACGAAGACAGCAACCCACGGGAAAAGTTAATCAGCCTGTATGTTTTACTAAGTGTAGTGACTGCTAGTGCTCCAATAGCAGGTGTTGGCACGACTCAAGAAATCACATGAGATTCGCACTCACAAGTGTTTCAAGTGCAGTGGCTTTGGCATACACCCTGGATCACTTCCTGCTGACTTTTAAAGCCAGGATCTCAAGTACGAGAAATTGCTGTCAATTGCAAAACACTTGCAGCTCTCGTTACCCTATCTGTGTAGGCGAACTGACTGGCTGGTTAGGAGGTTGAGTGTGCGACACACCCACGTTTTTGCCCCTGGGTCAATTGCAAAACACATTTCTGATACATGAGATTTTTCGGGGGTGGCGAGAAATTGCTGGTGTTGGAGCTTCGTCACCGAACCAGATTCCGTGCCTCCCTGGTTCGGATTCAAACTTGCGATTTGAATTTAGTTCGCACCCCTCGCTTCACCCCTCGTCAAACGAACCACCTCGTTAACCAATCACAGGCGAGCTACTCTCACCAACTTCCAGCCAATTTTTTTACTTGAGATCCTGGTTTTAAGTACCTTTGTGTCTTCTCAAAGGTCACCTGAAGGAGAGTCTCATTCACCCACAAACGAGACGAGAGTCTCATCATTCAAGCAGCCAAACGAGAGTCATATCACGCACCAGTGTTTCAAGTGCAGTGGCGTTGGCATACACAGTTGATCCAGCCCTCCCCTTGGCCTTCCTAGCCCCCGTTGAGGCATTGCCTCCCCACCGCACCACATCCCTGCAGCATGGCATGAGAGTTACACAGTTACATGGTTACACCTGTGGGATGCTCAAAAGGCACCTGTGGAGGCATTGCCTCCCCACCGCACCACGTCCCTGCAGCATGGCACCGTATACCATCGCACAGTTACAGACAAAATCAACTAGTTAGGGGCATCACTCACCATGGTATACTCCTGTGACTAAGGAGTGTTCAGTCATTGCAAGGAATCTGCAGAGCGTCCTCCCCACCGCACCACGTCCTGCAAGGAACCAACGCATGTGTGCAGTGCAGTGCACTGATGAGTTTTTAGTCGACTCACACGCGTCCGGCAAACACCCAATGCATGTGCGCATCGAAGCGTGAGTGGATAGTTAGTCAGTTCGCATCTGGCCCTCTCAGCCCACAGCCCACGTGGCTGTTGGCGATATGGGCAGTGCCATTGGATGTGTGCGGGTCTGTGAGTGCCTCTTCGTGTATGTGTGGGGGGGGGTGGGTGGGGAGGAGGGGTGGGGGGTGGGGGTGGGGGGTGGGCGTGCACGCATGCATATACTTGTGTGTTACAGCAACGGAATCTCACCTGGGCTTCACAGCAGACAAGAGCTGTGACTTGTTGGCAGTACGTGGCGATAGTATCTACTGCGTGTGGGTCTCATGTGCACATACGCGTGCATCAGCGAAACCAAATCTCACCTGGGCTTCACAGCAGACAAGAGCTGTGACTAGTTGGCAGCACAAGGCGATAGTATCTATTGCGTGTGGGTCTGATGTGCACATACGCGTCCATCAGCGAAACCAAATCTCACCTGGGCTTCACAGCTGACGAGAGCTGTGATTTGTTGGCAGTACGTGACGATAGTATCTACTGCGTGTGGGTCTGATCTGATGTGCACAGACGCGTCCATCAGCGAAACCAAATCTCACCTGGGCTTCACAGCAGACAACAGCTGTGACTCGTTGGCAGTACGTGGCTATGGCGGACGGGGGGTTCAAGAAGTGACGCCGCGCATACAGCTGATCAGGGAGAGAGGGTTGGCAGAATGGCGAGGGAGATGAGTGGATGGGAAGGTTGTTAGAAGAAATTTATGCATTGGGGATCAACGAATCTATTGTGACCACAACGAATTTCTTGTTCACGAAATGATTCCTTCAAAACAGCTGAAAGAGGGAGAGAGGAGATCTTGGATGTGAAGAGAGGTGGAAAACAGAAAGGAAACAGCAAGACTGTCCAGAATCTCAATTCTAATGACTTCCTTGTCGGGTGTACATTACTGTAGTAGGGCATTTCCCCGATCTGCCCTACCAGTAAGTGGGGAGTCTCCCTCAGGTATGTTGACGCATCCCTGTGGTCTCAGGAAGTGCTTACTCTTAAGAAATGACACCACTACACGAAGTCTCACCTCATAGATTCCATCCCCGATATACGCCAGCATGGCTGCATTATGCGTAGCACGAGGTCTGGGCACGTCTGGCGGCGGAGGGAGCCAAACCCTAGGATCAGACACATCCAACGGCTGAGACGCGGTTACTGAATCATCCAACGGCTGCGACGCAGCGTTGGAAGTCAGCCGCTGGTTCACGTCTGATGCAGTCGACCCTCTGCGTCCGTTATTAGCAGACTCGATACTTGTCCCGCGCCCAGCTCCTGATTCAGCATTCACAAGTGTATCCAAACTCGGCTGCGTTTTTCTTCTTCTGCGACCTCCAGCAGCCCCGTTACTTCCCACTGCTGCAGCCGACCCTAATTGGGCCTCTGGTCTGGCCGAACCAACCACGATTCCTGTGGCTGTATTGCCTGCGGTGCCGTTCGCTGGACCAGATTTGGATCTGGCATTCTCAAGAACGTGTGGGACAATCCCGAGGTGAGAACGGGCGGAGAACGCGGTGATGGGTGTCAGGGACGAGGGCTGGAACCTTCTTAATCTGGTCGCCGAGAGCTGATAGGAATCCGTGCTTCCACAGAGAACTCTGGAAGCACAGAGTTTTTGAGTTTCTGGACCTGGTCGAATTCAGCATGGCTGTTTGGTGACAACGCGAACTTAAACTGTCAATTTTGTCTCACCGATCGTACCCCTTCCTGTATGGTGCAGGAGTTGGAAAAAGATAACGTGCTGGTGGTGAGTGGGCACCATGGCGTGCTCGACACATCACGGCGCCTGCGACTGATCATCGACGAGGCGGGTGGGCTGGACGCTCCCATTGCTGCCATGCTGCTGCCATCCCGGGAGATCATCAGAGACACTGACCCGCTGCCCAGCTCTGAAGATGTCGTGGCTCAAATGACTGAGGTAGCAGAGGCAGCAGCTATGACACAGGAGGAGTCTGCACGTGAACTGGAGCCTGTAGCTGCATAGACCAAGAAAGGTGGTGGGGGCTGTTGAGTGGTATTTGTTGAAACCGTCTGTAAAAAAGGAGGCTGTAAAACTAAATACTGTAAGCCTTATACCGGTACCATAAATGTTATGTGTGCAGGACACGGTGTTACAGCATACACCTAGCCTGTTACGAGTTGTACTAAGAAGAGTGCGCGGAAGACTTTATAAAAAGGATGTCGAATACAGAATGCTCAGAATGATAAAGAGGCAAGCATTTATAGGGTCGAAACCGTGCTAGGCGAGGACCTTGGGACGTGGTTGGATTGGAAGTGTCGCGGTGGTGCGGGGCGTCTCGGCAGTGGTTCGGGCCGAAGTGTAGGCCGAACCGAATCTGACGCGAAGTGCTCGGGGTTGTCCTCGCTAGGAGCAGCCTCTACAGTAATGAATTCGTATTCATTACATAGGTAGCCCGCGCCAATTTCACACCCCGTCAGTTTTGGGTTAAAACCCATTTGGACCTTTTTTGGCTTTGGGGATCAGACACCCAAGGAACTTGAGGCTATCCGTGGCATTGTGAAGTGTCGATGTTGTGAAAGTGTGAGTTTGTGACCGCAACGTAAAGACTGGATCTTCCGCTGCGATGCGACCATGTTTTTATTTTCCCGCTGACTCTTGAGTGGAGTCTGAATCGTTAATTCCTTAAAACCAGACTTTTTGAAATAACCCTTTATGTCCGGGTAAATCAGGAACGGATACACAGGGGTGTGAAGTTGGAGGGTGTGAAAATAACGCGGACCATGTGTAATTTGTCAGTTCCAACTGCCAATATACGTCAGTGGGCACTCTTGCAAATGGTAACAGTGGGTGTGTGTGGGCTCATACTGTAATTTGTAATCTACCACGCACTATGCACCCTTGCAAATGTGGCCAAAATAGGACAAAAAAAGCCAACTGCTTGAAAACATTAGCTGAACTAAACATCTCAAATTTGCGGTGAGAATTCCAGAACTGAAGACCAAAACAAGCTGTAAGAAACAAGGCAAAAAGCCAGCAAACCAGCATTCCCAACTGCTTTGGTTCTAAACGACAATGAAGCAGTGGAGTTCCAGTGCTGCAGTTACCCAAAACAAGCTTCATTGGCTGCATTGCTGTGAAATAGGGAGGGAGTGGTTGTCAGGGACAGTGGGTCAGAAGGCTCCAACAATGAGATATTGAAACTTGATACTGAGCAGCTGCAAGTGTAGCATACCTCACTCTAGTGGCTCTTGCATTGCAGTGGCACCATGAGGAACAATGACACTGCACGAGCCACCAGTACCGGAGGAGCTATCCCACATGAGGTTATCCCTCAGAGGGTCCGAGTACATATCCACAGAACGCGCCACAATCAGCCGCCCATTCAGCACACCTTCTCCCAGCGTGTATCTGGTTCCTAAATCTGACGCTCTAGATGCTCCTGATGCCCAAGCTGCTGGCACTGCGGCCACTGATGTCGCACCAGGTGGTGGCATGCCGAGTGGCCTCCTCGAACTAATACTAGTAGCGATTCCTCCTTTTCCTGAAACTGATGTTGCTGCAGCAGGTGCTGCAGTGGACACTGCTGGCCTTGCTGCTGCTGCTGCAGCAGCTAGCTTCTGCCACGTGTTGGCCCCATGGGATGATGGGGCAGCAGCAGCAGGTGTTACTGATGCCGACTGGTTGACCCGGGGGAACGAACCAGGAGAGGTGGATGAGGATGGGTGAGTGCTGTTGGAGGGGAGGACGGAGGTGTGGAAAGGAGGAGGCGAAGGAGTGGTAGTCCCAGTGGGAGGGGAGGCAGATAGTAGGGAGGAACCCGAGAAGAAGTTGGCCGACAGGGCGAAATGTGAGGGGTCACGGGAAGCTGGAATGGGGGAGGCAGAGAGAAACATACAAAACAAATAGTCGTCAGTGGAGCAGCAGTGGGGCCAGAAGCTGAGGCTGATGGAGGAAACCAGGTGAGATGCAACAACCGGGGCTTGGTAAGAGCGGAGTATGTATCGAGTAAAGGAGGGACGAACCTTGGTTACGGTTGGGCTGTTGTGGCACTTTAACATGCCCACACACAGCAGCAAATGACCCATCCTCCTCGTCCTCATCCTTCGCCTCTGCTACTTTACCTGTTCCCACCCCCAAGCCTGCAGGCACCACGGGTGCAACCTTTCTTCCCGCCTGCTGCTGCTCCTGCACTGGAATCACAACTGCTGCCTTCATTGCTGTCATACCAGTCACGTGTGCTGGCACTGCCAACGCACCAGTAGTGGCAGAGACGGTAGGGATTGAAACAGCAGTGGTAGCAGTGACAGCAGGGATTCTCTGAGACTTGTGTCCAGCTCCCACGCCTGGTGCTGCCATTGCTTGTGCGCCTGGTGGTGGCTTCTTCTGAGACCCAGACACTCCACTGAACACTCTGGCGGCCGCATCAGCTGCTGCCACTCCATTGTCCATACTGCTGCATGCAGTAGGTCCTGTCGTAGAGGCAGTGGCAGTGGTGCATTTGCGTAGAGCAGAGCCGGCACTGGGTGAAGAAGATGGCACTGTTGACATGCTAGGAGATGGACCTGAAGCCAACGCAGAGTGTAGCACAAGGGCGAGATTTGGGCAGGAAAAGGAAGGGGGGGAGATAAGGGCAATGGTATTGGCATGATAAATCACACCAGCATCGGCATTTTGCATCAATTCTTCCTGCACACCTGATGCTGTTGATGCGGAGCGAGGATGCCCGAGAGAATGCGACATGCCTTGGCCTCCTGAGTGTCCACCTGCTGCAGCAGTACCAACAGTGCTAGCACTGGGAGCACCAGACGGACTGTCAGCACCAGCCCCACTCGCAGCACCAGCAGCAGTGCTGCCACGTGCAATGATTACAGCAGTGGAAAGGGCAGATGGAGCAGGGACGGCAGGAGGGGTGTGTACTGGCGACGGAGGGGTGGATGAGCGAGAATCCCCTGCTGCAGTGACAGGTGCAGGCGAAATGGTGGAAGGAACAGCAACAGCAGAAACAGCAATGGCAGCAGCAGCAGCTGCAGATACACTAGGCGCAATCACAGCAGCAGTAACGGCAGGAGAAGCAGCTGCAGGTGGTGTTGGTGGTGGAGGTGATGGTTGCGGTGGCGGCGGTGGTGGGGTTGGTGTGGGCGGTGTTGGTGCAGGTGCAGGTGGTGGCGGGTGAGAGACAGAAGCAGAGGAGGCATGAGCCTGGCCCCAGCGCTGCCACCAGCCAGAGGCAGAGAGGTCAAGGCACGAGGTGGAGGTGAGGGAGGAGAAGAGGTGCGCTGTGTCTGCCGGCAGGGAAGATGCGTCAAACATGCCCTGCGCGAGCAGCTTCTGGAAGTTCTTGACTGCTCGGAGAAACGTCTTGCTGCGGAACATGCTCTCCACACTGGTGGGGGAGAACAGAGAGGAGAAGGTGAAGGGATGGCACAGCGAGGCCACACGTGGAAGGACACATAAAGCAGAAGTGCAAGGAGTGGTTCACTGTGGCCATGACCGAACGGCACGTCTGCACCACAATCGCATGACACACCATGCCATGCCATGCCACGCCTTCACAGCACTGCTGTGTGCCGCTGCTGCATTCACCTGGCGGAGCCATTGGCAGTGTCGACAGCAGGCAGCATGGCAACGAGCTGACTCTTTTGTGCGTGGTCCATGCAGCGGTAGAGACTGGAGGCGTTCACTATGTCCTGTCCAAGAAGCAAGACGGATGGACAAGAAACCGATTAGAGGAGGAAATTACTGCTGAAACGGGTCGAAAAATGGGCAGGCAGACAAAGAGAAAAGAGAAAGAGAAGCTGTAACAAAGGAGAAATCTGAGCGAGCAAGAAAGGGAGACTTACTGTGAGGTTCACTGAGCACAGAGTAGAGTTTGGCGAGTAGAGGAGGAAATCGTCCGACACGATACCAGCAGCCCTGTGTACGGGAGGGAAGAGAGAGGCATAACAGAGGCAAGCTCAACCGATTCAAAGAAACATGACATTGCATCTTCATGGGTAGCACATCGAGAGTGGAGCCATGACGAGAAAGAGATATCGGAGAAAAAGGGAGAGTGCCTTACTCTGCCAAACTCGCACCCGCCACATGCTCTCTGCCTCCCACGCCAACTCCCCCACCTTGCTTTCTCGCCCCCGTCATCCCGCCCTTTTCCACATCGCCCTCTCCTATCCCTGCTCTTCCCATGCCGCCTGTCCTCCCCCCAGCCCTCCATATGCTGCCATCACTGGCGACTCGATGCATGCCCACTCGCTCCCCCCTTCCCTCCCCCACTGCATCCTCTCGCGTACCCTTCCCCACCACAGGGCCAGCACCAGCAGCACCGGAGGGGGTAGTGAGTGCACGATAGTGAGGCGAGGGCATAGTGAGAAGCACAAGGTCCCGGTGACCACTCGGCACATGCTGTAGTAGCTCCAGTTGCCCATCCTCGTCACCTTCCTCCTCCTCTTCTTCTCCCTCCTCCCCGGCTCTCTTTTCCTCCTCTACCTCAACTACATCTTCCTCCCCTCCCCCTGCCTCATCGTCTCCCCCTTCTTCTATCCACACCTCTCTCACCCCTTCCTGTCCCCTCCTTCCTCCTCCTCCATCCATCAGCAAATCGACTTCCTCATTCCATTGCACTCCCGCATCCACGTCCATATCCCCCTCTCTCTTCACCCCCTTTTCCCCACGCGCGTGCGCGCCTTTCTCTCGCCACGAGCCCTCTTTCCCCCCTCCGCCACCCGCACAGTGCCTCATCCGCAGCGTGGTGAGGTCCGCCTCGGATTGGCTGCGCGGCCGCATGCCACTGCCGGACCCCGCGCCATACAGGGATGCAGAGGACTGCTGACCTCCTCCGCCAAGAGACCTGCGCTTGGGTGGAATGGGCACGCCTGGGAGAGAGTGGGTCGACGGAAAAGTGGGAGGTGGGAGACAGGGATTAGCCCATCACATACCACATGATGCCACACGTGAGAACCATCACATGGTTTGTATGCCAGAGCCAGACCATGCCAGGGATGCTTGTGAATCTTATCGTCAACACAGAA